TGTGCACTTGCGCACTTGGGTTGAAGTCAAGAGAACACATTTTTTCTCTTGATGAACTAAAGAAAAGGAACGTCCTTAAAAGAACATCTAAGCAACCACAAAGTCCCAACCCAACAAGTTTTTGGCGCCGTTGTCGTGGATAGTTTACACTAAATTCTTTCCTTAAATTTTTTTATCCCATATTTTGTTTATATATCATTCATTATTCTTTGTTATATACTCTGTTGTTTATACTGTGTATGTTTTATGGTTTATGAGTGAAGAATCCGAAGCTGATTCTCACAATTTCACTGAAATACCTGAATTTTTCTTTGATCCTGAACCAAAACGCACTTTTCATAGAAGAAGAAGAGATCTCAGAGAAAATATTTTTGAATCAAACATGGATGATCATAATAATAACAATGAAGAGATTCCTTTGGAACAAAACTTCATAGCTCTGGCTGCTCCTTCAAGGAATAGACTAGAAAGAGGAGTAATCCTCCCTCCTGTTGTAGCTCCTAACTTTGAGTTAGAGCCTATTATGTTTAATATGATTAGGGAGGCTGGAGTTTTCAATGGACTCCCTGCAGGAGATCCTTACACACAACTTAACAACTTTCAAGATATTTTGTGATAATTTTAAAATAGAAGGTGTGACAAAAGAGAGTATGAGAATGAGGTTGTTCCCTCACTCTTTGGGCTCAAAACCAAAACTTTAATGAATATTGTTGTTCCTTCTCACATCAAGAAGGATTGATATATAATGACGCGAGAAGTTGTTTGAAGTCAGACTGAACTTACTGTCTTTGAGGAACGCCCCCAAGATAGTAGGGAACGAATGACCAAACAGTTCAAATAATGTCTATTTTTTTTATTTTAATTCTTTATAAAACAGTTCAAGGTATTATTTAGAGTTCTATTCTCGTGGGAATGCTAATCTAGGCATTAATAATCTCATTTATTACTTGATGCGTGCACTTGCGCACTTGAGTTGAAGTCAAGAGAACACATTTGTTCTCTTGATGAACTAAAGAAAGGGAACATCCTTAAAAGAACATCTAAGCAACCACCATGTTCCAACCCAACAAGTTTTTGGCGCCGTTGCCGTGGATAGTTTACACTAAATTCTTTCCTTAAATTGTTTTATCCCATACTTTGTTTATATATCATTGATTATTCTTTGTTATATACTCTGTTGTTTGTACTGTGTATGTTTTATGGTTTAGGAGTGAAGAATTCGAAGCTGATTCTCACAATTTCACTGAAATACCTGAATTTTTCTTTGATCCTGAACCAGAACGCACTTTTCATAGGAGAAGAAGAGATCTCATAGAAAATATTTTTGAATCAAACATGGATGATCATAATAATAACAATGAAGAGATTCCTTTGGAACAAAATTTCAGAGCTCTGTCTGCTCCTTCAAGAAACAGACCAGAAAGAGGAGTAATCCTCCCTCCTGTTGTAGCTCCTAACTTTGAGTTAGAGCCTATTATTTTTAATATGATTAGGGAGGCTGGAGTTTTCAATGGACTCCCTGCAGAAGATCCTTACACACACCTTGACAACTTTCAAGACATTTGTGATAATTTTAAAAAGAAGGTTTGACAAAATAGGATATGAGAATGAGGCTATTCCCTCACTATTTGGGCTCAAAACCAAAACTCCAATGAATATTGTCGTTCCTTCTCACATCAAGAAGGATTTGATATATAACGACGCGAGGATTTGTTTGAAGTCAAACTAAACTTACTGTCTTTGAGGAATGTCCCAAAGATAGTAGGAAACGAATGATCAAACAGTTCAAATATTGTCTTTTCTTTTTATTTTAATTCTTTATAAAATAGTTCAAGGTATTATTTAGAGTTCTATCCTCGTGGGAACAATAATCTGGGAATTAATAATCCCATTTATTACTTGATGCGCGCACTTGCGCACTTGGGTTGAAGTCAAGAGAACACATTTGTTCTCTTGATGAACTAAAGAAAGGGAATGTCCTTAAAAGAACATCTAAGCAACCACTAAGTCCCAACCCAACAAGTTTTTGGCGCCGTTGCCGTGGATAGTTTACACTAAATTCTTTCCTTAAATTGTTTTATCCCATACTTCGTTTATATTTCTTTGTTATATACTGTGTATGTTTTATGGTTTATGAGTGAAGAATCTGAAGCTGATTCTCACAATTTCACTGAAATACCTGAATTTTTCTTTGATCCTGAACCAGAACGCACTTTTCATAGGAGAAGAAGAGATCTCAGAGAAAATATTTTTGAATCAAACATGGCTGATCATAATAATAACAATGAAGAGATTCCTTTGGAACAAAACTTCAGAGCTCTGGCTGCTCCTTCAAGGAACAGACCAGAAAGAGGAGTAATCCTCCCTCCTGTTGTAGCTCCTAACTTTGAGTTAGAGCCTATTATGTTTAATATGATTAGGGAGGCTGGAGTTTTCAATGGACTCCCTGCAAAAGATCCTTACACACACCTTAACAACTTTCAAGACATTTTGTGATAATTTTAAATAGAAGGTGTGACAAAAGAGAGTATGAGAATGAGGCTGGTCCCTCACTCCTTGGGCTCAAAACCAAAACTCCAATGAATATTGTCGTTCCTTCTCACATCAAGAAGGATTTGATATATAATGACGCGAAGAGTTGTTTGAAGTCAGACTGAACTTACTGTCTTCGAGGAACGTCCCTAAGATAGTAGGGAACGAATGACCAAATAGTTCAAATACTTTCTTTTCTTTTTATTTTAATTCTTTATAAAACAGTTAAAGGTATTATTTAGAGTTCTATTCTCGTGGGAACGATAATCTAGGCATTAATAATCTCATTTATTACTTGATGCGTGCACTTGCACACTTGAGTTGAAGTCAAGAGAACACATTTGTTCTCTTGATGTACTAAAGAAAGGGAATGTCCTTAAAAGAATATCTAAGCAACCAAAAATCCACAAAAATAAATCAATAGGATCTGCTTTGATATTATTTTTAGAAAAATAGAATATAATATTTTTTAAATTGGAAGGAATATGGTCCAAGTACCCAAAATTAAATTGATAATATAAGACGTTTAAAATCACCATTTTTCTAAGCTAACGGGTTTCAAAAAAGAGAGGGGGGGGAATATAACTAGATAAAAAATTACAAATAAGAAACCCTGTTAAATAACTTCATTGACATATCAGGAAAAAGGGGAAATTACAATAGTACCCCAAAAAAAAAATGTCGTGACACCTAGATCGATGTTATAAGAATGGTTATCCAAACAATGGCAAGAGCGTTGCCCTCCTTGTATTTTATAATGAATAATGGTTGGACAACCAAAAACTTGCATTCACTTCGGGGGTTGTTTGGTAAGAGAGAAAAAAAAATTGTCTGGGAAAAAAAGACAGGAAAAATATATGGCCAAATGTTTTGTAGAAGAAAAAGTTAAAAGGGTCTCGTCACAATTGTTTCCCATCTAAATTTTTTATACATGGACAAGAGTAAAATTTTATCATGGATTGAGTGGAAAAAAATTTACCTTCGCGGTGGTAAAATCTTACACATAACATCAATAAAATTCATTTAATTTTCTCGAAAAATTTTTAACCTACCAATTTTTTTTTTTAATTTACCTGGAAAAAAATTCTTTCCAATATATTCTTAGCAAATATTTGTTTCTAGTAAAAAAAAAAATTCTCCTGTACTAAAAGTTGCGTTGAGGTTACGCGAAGTCCTCCTCCATTGCCCCATGTTTTAAATTGTCTTATTATAAGTTTGAATAAAAATAACTTATAAGAAGTTTAGTTTAATTGCATTTATAAATATAAGTGTAAATATAAAGGGAAATAGATGTATCATGTTCTAGGAAATTGGTTGTGTCATGCTATAGACACAATCAATGTGGACCCTACCACTTTCTTTTCTTTTCTTTTTATTTTAAAATGGTGGGGTCCACATTGGTTGTGTCTATAACATGACACAACCAAATTTGTACAACATGATACATCTATTTCCCAAATATAAACTCTCTACATCTTATGTACTTGGTAATGGCAAAGCTTGGTAAAACTATTCCGTCCTCCATCTTGGTTTACTTACAGCTGCAAAGGTAAAGTCAATGGGATTGGATCTCACCATATCCATATCTGCCATAAATAGAGTACGGGATTTCATGATTTCTCATTCCTCTCTCACCACTCACTCATTTTAAATTTTTGACATGAAAATAATCTTAATTGATTTGATTTTGTAAGAGTTGATTTAATTTTGATCAAACGATAATAAAATTAATAATAAAAAATAATAAGAAAAAAAAAGCAATAAATATAACCTCCCCTTTTTGATTCATAGACAATGGTAACAACTTTAAATTTAATTTCCTAAAACAGAAAAGAGAAAGTTTTGATAGAAATTTTAATCGCTTAGCTACATTTTATCTATTTGTAAAAGAGATAAGATATTGTTACTATCAATTAGTGTTATTATTATCAATATCACAACCATTTTATTTTATCATTAGATCAATTATGTTTATTCAACGATTATAATTCAACTTTTAAAAAAAAAAATTCCCATATATTTAAAATTTTATATTTATTTTAATTTTTATATGATTATATTTTTTTATATTTAATATTTTTACATTAAATATATAAAATCATAATAATACAAAAATAAATATAAATATAACTGTGGATCGAACATAATCAATCTAACTATAAGATAAAATGATAATGATACTCCGGGGGTCGTTTGGTACGTGGCTTTTGGCAGGATTTCTTGGAAACTGATTTTTTTAAAATTTTAAATTTTCAAATATTATCATAAACTGAATGTAAAAATCATATTTTTAAAAATTAAGATTTTCGAAAAAAAAAAAATTTCTCACGCGCCACGAGACTGATAGAAAATTGGAAATAAGATTCTTTACAATTCTATTCATAATCCCATGCCCCACTTTCACTTTCACTAGCAACCTCTGAGCTGAACTGAGTTCGTGTCTGAGGTATGTACAACTGAACCATGTCTTTCTCACTTCTCTATCATCCCATCCCCTCATACCCATTTCCCATCCCTATTTTCACTCCCTTTTTTCTCCCCCACTTCAGATCCATTTTCAACCTCTCTTCAGTACCCAATTTCAATTGCCACTGGCATTTACAAAATGCTACCTTTTTCCTCTCTCTGCCTCTGACACCCCAAACTGTTAACACTACCAAACTCTCTTCTATCACTTTACTGTATTCATGAGATGGGTCATTGAAAGATTGTGCCAACTGTCGGTGATGCGTTTTGCTTCTTCTTTTTTCTTTTCTCCCTTTTGCCCTTTTGCTTCTTTTGCACGATTTCTATGGTATTCACACATTTACTCATTGCCAAAGCTAGTTTGCCACTTAGATTTGCTTCTCTTTCACGATATTTTAACTTATTCTCTTCTTGTTATGTTACTTAGATTTTATTTTTCTCTGTTTGGTCCATCTTTCTGTCTAGAAGACTTTTTAAAAATAAAAATTGATTATTAGTATGTTTTTGATCCAATAGTGACGTTTCCTTTTTAGGGAATGTGCATGAGGTCCCACAAACAGATGATATTGTATCAAACTTTCAGTTATGATGGTGCTGATGATGTTTCATTGCTTTCTATTTCACCTTTCTGTGCAGTTCTTGTTTCATGGTTCCAATAGTATATCACCTAGGTGCTTTGTGGAACAAGAGTCATTAAGTTGGTTCCCTTGAATCAAGGAAGAGGCCTTTCTGGGTGAACTTTGAATAATTGAGTGAGTGTGGTGAGAAAATTTTGGGATGGTTATTTTGCCTTGTAAATCATCAATTTTTAATCTGCCTGTTGAAGTTATAGTAAAAATTTGATTCTTATGTAGTGGCAAGAATGGCAAGAGGAAGAGCAGATGGGAATCAAAGAAAGCAGTTGGTCACTATTACGTTGGTTTTAGTGCTTGTTGGTGCTTTGTTTTTCTTGTTTTATGGGAAAAGTGGCTCGTCTTCCGTTGAGTATGGTAGCAAATCTTTAAAACTCATTGGTTGGAGAGGAGATGAAGATGCTGATGAATCTATCTCCAAAACTGGAGGAGACTACAGTGCTATTCCAAAGACCATTCCAGTGAGTTATCTCAGTTTGAACTGAACAAATTTTACATTTACCCTTTCCGCTAGTCTCAAATGTTTAGTGTTTAAAAGGAAGCATTCGAGTTGTTTTACTCTTCTATTCACTTTTTTAAGGTCTGTGATGGTCGTCTCTCAGAGCTAATTCCCTGCCTAGATAGAAATCTCATATACCAAACAAGATTGAAGCTTGATCTGAATTTGATGGAGCATTATGAGCGACACTGCCCAATGCCTGAGAGGCGTTATAATTGTTTGATTCCCCCTCCTCCAGGGTACAAGGTGGATATCTTCTCTCCAGGCATTGCTTCTTAGGTGGAACTAAGAAAGCTCATAATATTTAGAAATTTTCTATGCTAAGCTTATAGTGTCTTATGTTGTTCTTGATGATAATAGATTCCAATCAAGTGGCCCAAAAGCAGAGATCAGGTGTGGAAGGCAAATATACCTCATACCCATCTTGCAACTGAGAAATCTGACCAGAACTGGATGGTTGTAAAAGGTGAAAAGATAGTTTTTCCTGGTGGAGGAACCCACTTCCATTACGGTGCAGATAAATATATTGCATCAATTGCCAATGTAAGCAAGTCACTCCTATTTGGGTTGGCACTAAACTAATCATCAGAACATAAAACTCTTAAATAACTGAAAGATTTATAACTTTATATTCATAATTGGTATTACAGATGCTCAACTTTCCAAACAATAATATAAACAATGGAGGAAGACTCCGCAGTGTTCTTGATGTTGGCTGCGGTGTTGCAAGCTTCGGAGGATATCTTCTTTCTTCTAATGTAATAGCAATGTCATTAGCCCCAAATGATGTTCATGAAAACCAAATCCAGTTTGCTTTAGAAAGAGGAATTCCAGCATATCTTGGTGTCTTAGGGACACTAAGACTCCCTTACCCTAGTAGATCTTTTGAACTTGCTCATTGTTCTCGCTGTAGAATTGATTGGCTTCAAAGAGATGGCATACTTCTTCTTGAGCTGGATAGGTTACTCAGGCCAGGAGGCTATTTTGCCTACTCATCTCCTGAAGCCTATGCTCAGGATGAAGAGGATAGGAGAATATGGAGAGAAATGAGTGCTCTTGTAGGACGGATGTGTTGGAAAGTAGCTGCTAAGAAGAACCAGACTGTTATATGGGTCAAGCCTCTTACAAATGATTGTTACTTAAAAAGAGAGCCTGATACTCAGCCTCCACTCTGCAGTTCTGATGATGATCCTGATGCTGTTTGGGGAGTTAAAATGAAAGCTTGCATCGCACGTTACTCTAATCGTGAGTGATATTTTCTCTATTTTATACGACGATTTAATCTGTTTTTACTTTCAAGGCCATGAGATAAACTGATAATAAGAATGTTCCCAGCCCATTACTAAGCGTACAAAATCTGACTATGAAAAATAAGCGATGAAACAAACAACTGCAAAAAAAGAGAGGGGGGGGGGGACTGCTTATTGATTAGGCAGCAAGTATCCAAGAGTTGACTATGTAAATCAGATAGAATTGTCTATTCTAGGTAGGGCCAAGTTCTCTCTGCACATTTTATTTGACACAAGTTAACCAATTGCATTTTGCATATGAATGTTTGCATAACTTTGTTCTGTTCCATCAACAGTTTCTGGTATTAATTCATGACTTTATGTTAGAAGTTGAAAAGGAAATAACCACATATGCTGCTGGTCTATACAGAGATGCACAAAGCAAAAGGAAGTGGTTTGGCTCCTTGGCCAGCTCGATTGACTATGCCGCCACCTCGTCTTGCTGACTTTAACCATTCTACTGAAATGTTTGAAAAGGACATGGTAATTTAAAATATATCCTGTTTTCCACTTTCAATATGTTCAATAATGAATGCTTTTACTCATCAGAAGGAAGTAGTAAAAAAGCCTGGAAGTAACAGTAAAAAGAAAGGAAAAATATGAGAAAAAATACAAGAGGAGGTGGGAGAAGGACCTGCTGGAAACCCTACATTAGCCAACTGAAAGTATAAACAATGATAACTCAGATCACGTTTTTTGCTTGACTAAATTTGATATGAACTAATTGAAAACCTCAATTGCAGTGGAGGTGCCATTTTCTTTCCTGAATGGGCCCATAGGAAGACTATCTAAATGTCACACCATATGAATAATTCCTTTTATTTGTTGAATTTATGGATAACTTTGTAATTTTCCTTTCCAGCTCTGAGATGATATTGAACACAAGATTCATAATCGTAAAAGAAGTAATTATTCTAGAAATTATAATTAAATCTAAGGCATGATAGCTTCATAGCATGTCTGATTACCGTTAATATGACTCGACTAATTTTGTGCAGGAAGTTTGGCAACAAGAAGTTGATAATTACTGGAAAATGCTAGGTAGTAAAATTAAGCCTGACACAATTCGGAACGTAATGGACATGAAGGCAAATCTGGGTTCATTTGCAGCTGCTTTGAAGGACAGAGATGTTTGGGTTATGAATGTGGTGCCAGAAAATGGGCCAAACACTCTCAAGATCATATATGACAGAGGGCTGTTAGGAACGATTCACAACTGGTATGACTCTTATCTTCATAAAAAGAATGATCTTCACTAGGATATATCAAAAACATCATTTCCTGTTAAATTTAGTTTCTTTTTCTTTTCTTTTTTGTTGAAAAAATACTCTCCTTGGGGCAAATGATGAGCATAAAATGCAAGATGCCCTTTGAAAGCCCTACTATCATATAAGTGTTGCCAATTAAGGAGCATATCTTTGGTCCTTTACTTAAAATTAGAAAAAAGTGGAATTTAGGTGGCAATAACCATAAAAGGGTGGGTAAAATGATAAAAGTCGGTTACATTACTTTTTTTCAAATTTAATAAAAGATATTCCGAGTCTTCAGTTCTATGGGAGTATCAAAGATGTTTTCCCAATTAAGCTACATGCTTCTTGCCATCGTACTCCCTTTTTTGTTAATTTGTTTTGGCATCAATGTGACAGGTGTGAAGCATTTTCAACCTATCCTCGTACTTATGATCTACTCCATGCATGGACTATATTTTCTGATATCATTGAGAAAGAATGTAGTCCAGAGGATTTATTGATTGAGATGGATAGAATCCTCAGGCCAAAAGGTTTCATCATTGTCCATGATAAACGGTCAGTAGTGATGTCTATAAAGAAGTTCTTGCCAGCATTGCACTGGGAGGCAGTGGCCATATCTAATGTAGAGCAAGATTCAGAAGATGCAGTGTTAATAATTCAGAAGAAGATTTGGCTTACAAGTGAGAGCATCCGGGTTTCAGAATAATGACATAATCCAAAGTATGAACGGGACTCTTGCCATTGCCATTCACTTTGAAGTTTGAAATCTGAGTGATAAATGACCACAACCGTTGTGGAAAATTGCTCTTATATGTTATTCCTATTGTCTACACCATAGGCATAAGTTACATTGAAAGCTCATCCCAAATCATCTTATTTGAATTTACTTAATTTTGGACACAAACGTTGTCAACCTGTTTATTGTGATTAAGAAAATTAGAGGAATCTGAGGAAATATAACGGTTTTCTAAATTGAACAAATTACTGCATATTGAGGTTGTAAGTTTTTTTTTTTTTTTCCATTTTGCTTCTGCTTTGGAAGACTGCTGATCAAAGGGTGTAACTTTGGCATGTTCATACTCCTCTTATTTTATGGAAAGCAGTGTTTTAAAACTCAGACCGGTCATTGACTTGGTCGAGGTACTGGGTCATTGGTTCAACTGTGTTCAACCGATTTTACTGTTCACATATTAAAAAAATATAAACATATTACTTATATTAAAAATTCACATATAAAAACTATCAATGAGCTTCAAAAAATCAATTGGTTCTCAATGATAGCAAATATTATATACTTCTAAGCTTTTAACTCTAGACCATATCCTAATATTGGATTAAAATTGTAATGTAAGCTAAATGCGCCTTTTGTGCCTTGACATAACACGGATAAATTAAATTATGATGATAAATAGTAGGCATGAAATATACACTAAAGAGAAAGTGTTCACCGTTGATATGAGACCATCAGTGTTTATCCCCACTAAACTTATTAAGATCATTATAAGATGCAACTAAATTACATAAACGAAATGCATTAATCTAAAATACCTTCTTATTTACACTTTACTTATTAATCATATTTATCACAAAATATGAACATAATTTAATTCAAAAGTTTTCATCAACCAAAAAAAAAAAAAGAGAGGGTCAACCGGTTTAACCCGGGTCACCGAGTCGCCGGGTTTCGGCTGAGTCAACCGGTCCAAACCGGGTCGACTGCGAAACCGGTCCAAATGACCACTCGGACCGGGGAACCCATCGGGTCACCGAGACCCGGGTCGACCCGACCGGTCCGAGCCGGTTTTTAAAACACTGATAGAAAGGATTCTGATTTGCTTCCCATCACGACAGATCCCGGCAAAAGAATAGAAAAGAAAAAAAAGAAACTTTGACATGCAAGAAAGAAAGAAATGATGGCAAGGGAAAAAATTAATCTTATAAAAAAAAGAAAAATCATAAAAATTCATGTCTTTCTTTTGGGCCATGATCAATATTAACGCTTTGAAAAAATAATAATAATAATGGTAACTCAGTTGACGCATCTGAGCTGAATAGTAGCTCAGTTGACGCATCAGAACTGAGTAGGTAGGGTGAGTAGAACAAGTGTTCAATCCTTTCTAGTACTATCTTTGAAAGGAATTTAAAATATTAATCTTGAACGAATCCCGAATTGAATTGCTTTGCATAAAAGATACCTATGACTTATCAAAAAAAAAAGTTGACGCTTTGACAATGACTTGTTTGCCATTCTTTTCTGTATTAAGGAAAATTAGGAGCCCACAATCTACAGCACTGATGGTGGACCTAAATTCTGATCTGAAGGAATAAGCATCGTAGAACTAGAGTTTTTCCTCCTAACCTAAAATGATGAACAAGTACCAATAAAGCCCAACACAGTTGATAGATAGCTGGGTTCCTTAAGCATGCTGACAGGGATTTGATCTCTGGTCGTGCGTATGAAAAAGGCTTTGTTGAGAAAGGTTTATCCACTTAATATGATCTCCCGCCTCGAAAGTATTAATCTTCAGCTGTCTGCTGGAGGATACCTTGGGAAACAAAAAAAATAAAATAAAATGATGAACAAGTAGATAATTATAATTATTGGTCTCAGATCAAAAATAGCATTCATTGATTCATTTCTAAGTATAATGATCAATACTATTCTAATTTATTTTTCGGGCCGAAAAAATCATAAAAAGAAAATTTTATATATATATATATTATACTTTTATGAAATCAATGTAACACTACCTTATATAGTTACTAACTTACTCTACTCATTTTACATATTTGAGTCAGGCATAATAGGCGCATTTAGACTCTTTCTATAATATTGATATTTCAAATGTAGGTTATTTTTTGAAAAAGTTAATATTTACAAAAATAAAATAAAAAAAATACTAGTTATTGTTGGCTAATAACTTTGTTAACATGGGCTAAATTGCGAGTAAATTTACCATTTGTTAAGTTGTATGGTAAATGTGAGCATTGTATTTTGGCTAAAACCTTAAGTAATTGTTATATTAATCTTTTGGGCCTACAGTAGGCACAATTGATTAAAGATTTGACTTGTACCTTATAAAGGCATGAATTCAAATTCCATTGACCGATATAAGGATTTCATTGATGGTGCAATATGCAATTCCTGCAAAAAATTCTCAGAAATTGCAAAAATCCTAATAAAATACTAATGTCTAACTCCACCTAAACTTTTATTAGACTAAAAAAAAGAAACCTTTTGGTGATTTACGATAAATTATGATTTAGCTTCAATCAAATCAACTTTTCCTACAGGACTAATAATAATCTTTTTTTTATAGCCTCACTAGAATGTATTTTTCTTATTTAATTGTTTCATGTCATTTGCAACACATTTCGTTAAAATTTGAAAAAAGAAAAAGCTAAGCTTACATAAGGGGGGGTAGCATTCAATACGTAGTTAGCCAATGGCTTTCATCAAGATAAAGCTTTTCTCTGCGATACAATGAGCTCTGTTCTCTAAAGTCTAGACGATATAATTGAGCTCTCTAAATTTGTCATTAGCTAAAACAACAAAGGTCCTACAAAATTGGATTACTACCAATCCTTTAAAGGAAAAACCCAAATTCTCTGGTCATATCTTTATAAATAGACATGATTTGTTTCACTCAAGCTGATTTCAACTTGGCTGATGTCAAAGCAAGATGGGAAAGAATTCTGTGTCCCACAAACATCAAAAAAGCTCCCACAAGACCGAGTGTTTTGAGTGTAGTGAACAGATCCAGCTGCACATGAACAAAAATGACAAGATATAAGCACTTAAGAGTAAAAATTTGGAAGCAACTGACAATATTGCCCTGATAGAAGAGAAATGGAATGAAAATGAGGAGTGTCCTAATAAACCAATATGGATAAACGTTACCAGCTCCGCCAGTTAAGTATGTTATTTAATCATTATCACGAGAAATAACGCTTCTGATTGATAATAAATTAGTGTTACTCTACACGCATCAATGAATACCACCACATAGAAGAACCTGACTGAACATGTTTAACGGGGTCATTTAATAATGCTACATGAATGTAGAGTGGACATACCTTCAACCAGAAAAGTACATAAAGCAACAGAACTGCAGCAATACCAAGATGGAAAAGGATGGCAAATGTAGCGGGTACTGCTGAACCAGGGAAATTCTTCAGGTTCACCCCCAAACGTAATAACTGTGAATGATATAAAAGAGAATAAAAAAGATTAAGTACCATACAGGAAGATAGATCCAATGAAAGGAAATAAACCAGCTTAACAATTTCAATCTCGTCAAAACATTGAATGCAGGTGCAAAACAATCCCTTTCACTTTGTCTCTTCTACCTTTCTATACATACGAATTACGAAGCAAAGTAAATATACCTACATGTTATTAACACCTACAGTTCCAAGCCTTTAGACTGCCGATAAACAACTTCAACATCAGCAATGTAAGGCCATCAGATCAGGGCCCCATAATAGAGGCCTAATTTCACAAAGATAATTATTGTAAGTTTTGAAAGTTTTAAGCAGCATCTTTCAAATATTACATGCTAAATTTTACAAATATTATCCTCGTAAGTCATGACTCCAGTATACACCGCTCTAGATTTGAAATACTTTTTTGGGGTGTTCTAAGCAGGCAAGACCCTTTTCCCTTCGTAAATCATCTCCATTTCCCAAAAAGAAATAAATCTTAATTGGGGAGAGAGTATGAAAGGTAATACGAGAAACAGACCATTCAATTTGGATCTCCATTATCCAACTCAAATTCACCAAGAGTTTCTGCCAAATTATTCAGTTTTTGTCCCAAAATTTCCCCCAAAAAGAAAAACATCACTATTATTCAAGTGCTTGTTAACTGAACTAACACAGATTAAAGGCAATACTACCATAAAAATAAATAGCATATCAAGATTAACACACCACATTTTCTCTTTCTACCTCTCTTATTTTCCCCATTCTTATCTCCACTGCCGGAAGAGGCACGTGTAAATTTATGCCACTCGAGAGGATTAAAATAAGACTTACCCCAACCAAAAAGCCAATAAATGGCAAAAGGGTCAAACCCAAGAAAGCAAGAGACAGATTCTGGGGTGGTCGCTTTTCAGGAGCTCTGAATAAGTGGATTATCTCTGCTTTGGGCCCATATCTTGAATAAGGATCAACAGGTGGGAGAGGAGGACGGGCTGCCTTCTCAGGTGCTTCTGGAAGATCTAATTCGACATGGCCAAGTAGCCGTAAGAAAGAATTCTCCTGAAATAAAGAATTTTTTGCTCAGGTTTCCTGCAGATTATTTGGGGGGAGGGTGGGGGTTAAAAAAAAAAAAAGTTAGTGCAAGATACCATGACAGCATCACCAACAGTCAGCTCAATATCATATCTGCCTGATAGATAAAAAAGTTTTTCCACCAAGCCAAGAAAATCCTACATGACAAAATAACAAAGTAAGCAAAACAAAGAACTGTTGGAGGAAGATGAGAATCACAATGACATTACAGCGTTCCCGGAAAAATAAGGGCAAAACAAAAATTATAAGCAACTCTATCACAAGACAACTCAGAAGCGGTTAAGGTACGTCAATCGTTCCAACTTAATGGATAAGAAAACCTCACTGTTGTTAAGTTTTCCATTCGATGATTCACTTGATTATTGTATTGGGTGATATGTACTAAAAAATCACTCCCCATTAAACTCTAACTAAAGGGTTGGGGTTAGAGCAATCCTTATATGCAACCTCCTTGCCCTTACATATTTGCAAAAAGACTGTTTCTTAGATTCGTATCCGTGGTCTTTCAGTCACAAAGGAGCGGCTTTACCACTACTCCAAGCTTGCTATTGAGTGATATGTACAATTGAGATAAATTAATGAATTCAGCTGTGTAACAGTTAATAATTTGACAACGTAATAAACTGAATAAGTAATCACGGAGAGAAATCTGAACCTAGAGAACGAAACATTTAATAAGAGATACTTAACAAGAATTATCTCAAACTTCTTGCCAGTATTTCCAACCACAAAGATGTGTTCAACCATTGTCTCATGTCTTAACTTGAAAATTGCCTGCAGAGCAACAAAATCCTCAATAAACAGCATTGAAATGGCATTTATTCAAAAGGTCTAAGAGGCAACTGCAAACCTGTTGGGGCTTAAAAACATGACCATGAGGAGTTGCCAATTGGAAAGAAAACCTCAACTTCTGCAGGTGGTTAGCTGAGAGTGAAACAGCATCATTTCCAGCCAAATCTAGCCTGGATATGTAAACCGTAAATTAAATGGAAGTTGAAAAAGAACAAATTAAACCCATAGGCAAAAGAGTTACATACAAACACACAGCACTGCCACTGACATATATAGATTCATACGTAACATATTAGACATGATTGAATGACAAGCATATGACAATATGACATACTAATTAGAAATCAGAAGTATCTGTAATATTACCGCAGAAAACTTACAAATAGGATATTAAACCAAAATAGAAACATACGTTTTCTGGGTTTCAACATTTCCAAGATCACTGTCCAGAACTGCAATTTCTGCTTTGCCAACTTCAATAATTCCAGTGACATATATTGGCACTTGAATTTGTCCTCCAGTAGCATAAACTTTTTCACTGTCAGAATCATGAAGCAAAATCTACAAAATAGGGTAAAACATTATATTCATAGGTAGATGCAAATACACCTTGAAGCAACTGAAATGAAAAAAAAAATAAGTGCATGTTTGGGAAAGCTTTTTTAGGATAAATCGTCATTTTTTTTTTTAAAGCTCTCTCAGGAAGCTACCAAAAAAAGCAAAGCTTTTTCATCCCAAAATAAGCTAGTCCAAACACTAAATTAAACAAACGGGAATACCTCAAAAACAAACACATATGGCCCCACATCCACATTATTTGGGAAAGCATCCAAGACATGAGATCCACTCTCAGCATCATACTGGAGCTCCTGTGTCATGCAAAACAGAAGGCACCAGAGATAAGAAAGAATACCAGGAAAACAAATGACTGTTTTATGGGGGGAGGGGGAAATATCCTCACTCCTCGGGAGAAGTCATTGACTCATCACTCACCTTGCTCTCAATAATAGCTGAATCTTTTGCACCAGTGCTGAAAGCTCGGACAAGCTTAACTGTTAGAGGTGGTGCAGCTGAACCAAGCACGGTATTCACCCTAACCTGATTAATTTTGTAACGACATTTGTCATATATTCTCAACAGTAATGAGAAATAGAATAGAAACGCAGCACAATAACAAATCCAATACTCTGAAGAGACCACAGCAGAAAAGTAAATTTTTTATCTAAGCAAAGCAGTTTCTGCATGCAGATATTAATAGGTGAGATATTAATGTAGAACAGCAAGCAGATGAATCAACAAGCAATAAATGCGGGAAAATGCTACCAGAATGCAAGATAGAGCTCATTATTTTTTTTATGAAAAAATTATTGAAAAAAAGGGCTCATGATAACAAGTTTTATACTATGGTGACAAGGACGCCTAAACAGAAATATGAACTGCATTGGTACATTTTTCAGAGGTTCGAATCATAAACGGCAGGACAAGAAATGGTGGAAAAATATAACCTTACAGGATGACTGAGACTCGAGATGTATTACAGCAAAAGGGCTGCTGAGCCATGGACTATTTTCTACTTTTCTTTTGTTAGACAAGAATGGCAAATGATAAGGACAAGAAATCAAATGTACACCATCAACTAATATCCAAATATCTAAGAAAGAATAATTATAATACTAGCAAAATAAGGATTTTAAACACGTTAACTTAGTTACATACCTTAAGCTGGACTTTCCTGGTCAACGAATAAACCGTTTCAGGAAGAGACAATATCAACGGGATGGAAACTCTGCACCACAATAAGAAATCCAAGTTACATATTGTTGCTAAATATCATGACGAGGTCAATATATCATCAAAGAAGAAGAAACAGAAGAAAAAGAAAACATCGTCATAAATCTGAAATTTAAATAATAGATTGTTCTCAGAAAAGCACTTGCCTGTTGCTCTCTAGAAAAGCTAATGATTCAACTTGATTGAAGAAGTCCTTGGCATCTCCTGGGATTCCCATGCCCAGGAAAAATTTTGCTAAACCCAATATTTTATCCCCTGAAAGCTGGAAAATGCAAAGCCAAAAGATTGATATTAAATTCTGACAGATTTAGAAATTAAAGTAATCCCTTACACTCCAGAGTCACAGACATTTATTTTTCCAGAAGTTACGGCAGCAAATGCAGTAACCCCACGAACAACGGAAGAAGTTGTGGAAAGAGAACCCCGATGCTCATCTCCACCAACAAATTTCTCATCAAAATAAAAGGTGCCATCATCTGAAAAATGGCAATATGTTCATCTAAGTACACTATGATGAAGTATAAGGTATAAAGACCACTTAATATAATACACGAAAATAGTTATAGAAATCCCACAATTCACGATTCGAATGGCAAGATTTGATACAATTTACCAAGCCAAAGATTCTTATCATGTGATGAATCGAAGATGGCTTTGAATCCTACGATGCATGCATGAATCAGTGCAGTTCTGTATTACCGATACAAATCACACAATTCAACGATTCATTTTTTTTTCTTTCATCAATTCTCATAAAAGAAATTGAAAAGTCAAATAAACTTAAGTAGTTAAACCAAAATGAACAAAAGGAATGCCATTGAATGGACGCTACTTGATTATTCCATTGCCATGTTTTCAATTTTCTGAAATAAAGGTTTCACACACTCACTTGCTCTATGTATCCTATTTGACTATTTTGTTGCTCTGTTTTCCTTCTTCTAAAACAAAGGCTTCACACAGTCACTCGCTCACTCTATAGGCACCTTATCTGGCTATATCATTGCTCTGTTTTCAATCTTAAACATAAGCTTCATACTGTCACTTTATGTGATTCACTTATGACTTATGATTAAGTTATTTTGTCAATTTCTAGTTCCTAGTTTAAAATCATTACATTGTGCATCATACCTCATTTATATTTTATATATCATACTATTTTCATTATGTCTAAAAATTTTACAATTTGATACAATTCAAGATTCAAAAATTAGCGATTTGCGATTTGAATTGCGATTCAATAACCCTACAACATTTAGAAAAATAAATAAATAAATAATAATCTAAGGGGAGAGGGGAATAAAAGTGTTCTTAATTCTTAAGGCACAAGAGCTTCAATGAAGAGGTGCATCTAATCTCTTCGGGCTACTTAGAGCCCATTTGTTTGGCCTTTTAAAAAAAACAGCTTTTATGCCTTTTATTTTAAAAGTGCTTTTTACAAAAGTTAAAGCTATTTAGATTTTTAAAAAAATATTTGGCTTTTGACTTCTGCTTTTTTTAGAAGCTAAAATTTTTAGCTTCCAAAAAAATCAGGGTTTTGGTTTTTTTCCGACTTCTGCTTTTTTTTAAAGCATACATCTAAATGAACTTATAGTGAGAAGTGCTTTTTTTTCCTTAAAAAAAGCAGCTTTTAGAGAGAAAAAAACCCATCCAAACGGGCCCTTAATGCATAAAAGTAGGACATTAAGTTTGTCCATAAAAATAAGGTTCCATTACATGCAACTGATAAAGGCAGCTAATTCAACAGAAACCTTCAATTCTAGTAGTTTCCTCGAGGGGAGCTTAGACCCATACTATTAGCAAAATAATGATACCACACACTGTAAGGACGTGATTGCAACTTAGTCAATTTTTAAGCCAAAAAAAAAGGTAGTAAAAAGACCAAATAAGAAATTAAATGTGATGAAACATAAAATAAACTGAAATAAGGAAAAATTAAGAATCTACCACTTACAAAAAATAAATCCTACAAACAGGCACCATGGCTGCTAAATATATACTCTGGGGAATTCTAAAATTAGTAATAAACATTAAGAGTTATAAATTTGAAAGAGGTAAAAAAAGTTACCCGTACCATATTTCTCAATGCTGTCAAAAAGCTTTACTACATCATTTTTCACTATATTGACCTGCCAATAAGGAGCTAACATAAGATATTGATCGAAGTACAAAGACAAATTATGCAAGAAAGTAGAAAGATGTATCAAAAGCTAGAAAAGCATGTATAGCAAAGGCTAAAATAGATATTCAGATAAATGAAGCACTGGTGGTAAGTTTAACTTTAGATTCCCTATATTCCCGTCAACATACTATTTATAATGCAAATAATTCCACATGCATGGATTTCTGGACACTAAGGAAATTACTCAACTATATGAGCTTTTAAAATAGTGAAGCAACCAATATAACAATCCAGAACTCTACCTTAGACTGATCAATTTCAGAGGATGCTAGTGAGATTACTCCAGCAAGTGCTTCAAGTGCTAATCCTGCAAAATACATGATAAGATTAAATTGTCAGTATAGATAAACTGCAGCAATTACAATATTTCCAAGGATCTCATAATTCTAGTTTCATCAAAGAAAATATTAGGCATATGAGAGAGGAATTAAATATCAACAAATTTCCATGCAAATTATTACCAGCAGCATGGGTACTAGACTCGGGATTATCAGAACTGTAGCGCCATCTTCCATCACTTTGGCTTAGAGCCTGCCAAAATGAAGGACATGAAATAAAAAATGCACATGGCATTTTGATTTGCAATTGCAGTGACAATAATTGATGTAGAATAAGTGGGAAAACTAATAACAGTGGGGTCCGGTGGGGTTCTTAGTCTAAATCTCCTATCATCATCATTAGATGAGGGAAGAATAGCAGTTACCAAAAATTAAACCTAGTGCCCATCTTATTTAATAGAAAACACAACAATAAAAACAGACCTTGATTGAATGGAAAATCCCATCAGCATCAGCAAGAAGCACGTCAACATTAGAATCCTGATCCTGTGTACAAAGAAGAGGCAACCAAAAGCAGGTAAGGACCACAACGAAATATAATAACATGCCAATCCACAAGTCAATTAAAAAAAAAACAACAGCATGTCCACTACTTAAAAATATATATCAATCATAATGCAATAGTATCCCCAAAGAATTTTAATAAAAGCTCATGTAACATAGCCGTCTGGGCTCACAGAGTAAAGTAGAGGCCCGAGAATCACCTTTATAAGAACCAAAGCTCCCACTGAGTAGTATATGTCAAGCAAACTACTTGCTTCATATACCGTGCCTTTAAGTCTCGAAGCAATATCCTTCACAGGATTAAAAAAAATAAAAAATTCTAGCATTAATTATCAGCTCCACAACAGAAATTTCATAAGCAACGACACTCAAAAAAAACAAATACCTTAAAAACCTCCTCATTAACGTTGCATTTTAATATGCCATTAACTTTCAGGGCATAAAACAAATCCTTAAGAGTGGAAGATGACCCTAGATTTTCCAACACTCTCTGACAAGTGGTTGTGCTAACAGTAGGCTTCTTTTCGATTGCGAGGATCTCAAAAACTCTAAGTGCCTCGTACGCGTCTTCTAAACTGATAACGCATAACAGGATAGCAATTAGTTGACTTAAAATCTCAGCAAAGCGATGTAAATCTAATAATATTTTCATGTCCCCCTTGGATGTGCATAAATCTAATTAAACCATGACCAGAAACGCTGCAATTTTAACAGGATCAGCGGAAAATAATCTAATCTGTAAAATCAGAATGCAATTGACTTGAAAAATGAGGGTTTAATTAGGGTTTTGAACTGACCTCGGAAACACTCCATCGGCGGCAGAGAAGAGATCGAAGGCGGCGGATCTGTGAGAATCTGAGATCGGGTGAGCGGCTTGGGAGATCGAGAGAGCGAGAAGAAGCAGAAATGCTGCTGCTGCTGCTACGTTTGTGGCCATTCCTGCAGAAACAATTAATCAGATTAAGGTAAAAAAGTTGTAGAATGCATTTGGAGGAAGATTAAGAAGGAGATTGTAGGGTGCATACGCGAGAGAGAAAGAGAGCGCTTTCACTTCGCAAGCGACGACTTCCACTGATGTTATTGCAACCACACTAGTTTCCACTGAAGTCGTGGAAGTTTCACAGTATAATTACATTAATCAATTTCCAAAATTGCCCCTCCCTTGATTTTTAAAACGGGAAATCATTTTCTTACGGTGTTGGAGATTGTTTTATCATATTGTGTGAGACATCAAAATCCGTGCTATTTTCTTTCTATTTTTTATTTTTTTAACAAGTGGTATGATATATCACTTGTTGTGTCTATAATATGAGAGATGTTATCTCAGTGACATGACAAAAGAGAAACCTGTAAGAACTCACACTGTTAATTAAGAAAGTTAATTAATTAATTATGTGAAATTAAGAAATAATTTTATAATTGACCTTAATAATTATTATGAGGCTTAAATAATATTGGTAAGTGGTTATAATTCTGAAAGTCGTTTTTTTGACGAAAAATGCAGATATCGGTTCTGCTACTCGGTATAAATGCGTGCCGATGAAATATTTTGGAAAATTATGAAAAGTGTGTATATGTCTCTAGAATAATATATAGGACTTGTAAAACGAGTTTCAAGTCAAAATAATGAGAACTGGTGCCGAAACTGATACTGGCTATGGAAAAGTGTGTACCAAAAAGGTGCTGCGAAAAATAAAATAAAAATATGATAAATCTTAAAAAAATGAGTAGAATCAGAATCCTTAGTTTGGGATTAAAATGCTAAGCGTAGCAATTAGTGCTGATAGTGTGTGATTAACCTTGAACCGGCTATATATATATATATATATATATATATATATATATATATATATATATATATATATATATATATATATATATATATATATATATATATATCATTTCTGCACAAAACCCTAGCCACCTTATAACTCCTACATGAAAGGGTGGCTGACCAGCTCTCTATTCACTGTTCCATTGTTGTCCCCCTTCTTCTTCATCACTTTGAGAGCCAAGAAGACCTCTTTCTTCTTGGTTTCTTCATCAAACACTTAGTGTAGTGTATTGTGAGTGGGGAGAGTGCATCTTTTCTGAGTTTTGGCACTGCCTTGTGAGGTGAGGGGCTGAGTTTCTGGTTTTGGGGTGGTGGTGTCATATTCTTGGTGCTTAGTGCTCCAAGAAGCTACCTTTGAAGAGAAAGAACCTTCTTAGGTGCCATTTTCGTGGGCACTTGGAGTCTGAACTGAGGGAGCTGCTTAGTGAGCTCCAAGAGCAACCTTTTTCTGAGTTTAAGTCTTAGGTAAGTGTTGGCAACCTTGATCATGAGTTTTAATGCTTAAAAGTGGAGTCTTGGTATGTCTAATGAGATAAACAAGTAACCAACCTGAGTATGAACCTTATTGAGCCTAAAGATTCATGCTTTAACTTTTTGAATTGGTAAAAGTTGAACCTTTGGAGTGGTATTTCGCAAAATGAAGAATCTGAGTTCTGCCGCGAAATATCCGGATATTGGGTTGGAAATATCCGGATATTGATATCCGGATATGGGGTTCTGAATATCTGGATATTGATATCCGAATATTTTTAGATAGATATTCGGATATTGATATCCGTATATACCCTCGACAAATATCCAGATATTTTGGGTTTTCGAGAATAGTGAGGGTACTGTTCATACATAATGTTATTCTGGGTTTGTGGACCCATGATTAGTCAGTGGGGACTTCTGTATAATTAATCTAAGTGATTAAGGGCTTGAGGCTTTGAGAGAAGCCTACAGATGTAAAACGTAAAGGAAAGGCGTTGTCTTTGTATCACATGCGTGCGGTGCTTGAATATTGATTTGATTATTGGTCTAAACATATTGTGATCTTGTTGTTTTGGACTTTGAGATTGTGTGGACTCTTAGCCATTGTTGGTTCCACCATATCCCATAGGGGATGGTTTATATGCATGATGTTGTTTTCATGTATTGTTTTGATAAATGCTATTGAGCTGTTTTATGCGAGTGCCTTTATGATATGCATGTGGTGTTCCACCTATACGGTAAGCCTGAGTATGTGGAGACATACAAGATGGTGAGGCTGTGGGTGAAGTGCAAGCGGTGTTCCTTGTACTTATTGTGGGGTTGTAGACGTACATCCTGCATTTCTCTGGCCAGTAGAATAGTTAAAACACACATGGCATGAATATCTGTTGCACTGCATAGTTTTGGAACTTATACTATTAAATGCTTTTGAACTTATATTGCACATGTAAGTGAGCTTGGGGTGGAAGATCCTTGAGGACCCCTTGTTTTACTGAGATTTCCTTTTTAGAGATCTCACCCCACGTCTGGGACGCTTATTTCAGGTTCAGGTAACTTGAAGGCTGATGCCTCTAGCGGCAGGAGGCCGGAGCTTAGCTGATATTGATGTTATATCCTGGATTATATCTACTGATGTTATGCTTTTAGCTTGTTATTATGTTGTTGTTGTTGTTGAGACTTTTGTGGGTTTTGTTGCCTTATTTGGTGAGCACAGGGTTTGTCGTGGCTAGAGACATATTGATGTTAATTTTATATTGAGGTATTTCAGTTAACTGTCTTTTGCAATTTACATACAGACGATGTTTTGAAAATGATTAAGTAATCAAGTTGGTAATGATTAACGACATCATAATTGAAAAGAAAAAGATATTCCGCATTTTTAATTAAGCGCAGCTCAATACGATGACATGATAACATACCGGATATATACGGGGTGTTACAAAACCCATTATGGAAAAAATAAATCTTATGTTGTAGGAGAATTCTAATCTCGTGTTATAAATACATAAAGTGTGAGAGTCACACTCACTTACTTAAAAAAAAAAAATGTGTGTCAGGAAAGGAGAATTTAATTGTTTTTTTTTTTGGAAATATGCCAATCGGTTCTTTGCTTCACAACTAATCCGATTCGGGGCAGGTCCAGGATTAAGGCTTCAAACCCCTCCCAAAGGTGGTACTGAGGAGATTCGAACTCATGCTCCCACCCCCACTTGCTTAGCTCCCATGCACCAACTGAGCTACCATCATTTGGTAATTGCTTGAATTATTAGAGAAATATATATGTTTAATTCTTTTTCTTTTGGGGTAGGGATATATTTTATTCTTTATTTTTTTGTTAATTAAGTTCATGTCATGTATATAGGACCTGATGAGGATTTCTTTACATTAAGTATTCTTTTATCTAGGTGAATAATATATGTTTTTGAATATCTGTTTAATTTAACAGTTTTTTACCTGATAAAGTGATGACGCTTCTTTTATTTTCATTTGATTCAATGATATTACAAGGATATTTCATATTATGTCTATCGATTTTTTAATTTAATATATATAATAGTCATAATTTTTTAAAAAAATTATTGAAGATTTTTTATTTTTACAAAATTAAAATATTTTTTACTCACACTAATCGATAGATTTTTACAAAAATAAATATCATATGATATATTTAGAAGAATTATATAAATTTTTAATTAAAAGATATTTTTGTTAAAAATATTTATTTTTACGCTATCTAATATTATACAATCCATTATCAAACACTGAATAGTATTATTTTCTATAATACATTATCTTATACAATATGGCTTTTTCACCCTTTTGCACCTCATTAATTATTTAATAACTATTTTGCCCCTTATTCAGAACTATCTACCAATCTGCCCCTCTTTAATCGATTAAGCCAAAAATTTAATCTATTAAATGGTCAAAATAGACAAAAATCGTTGACTTGAAGATTTAATCGATTAAATCTCCCCATTTAATCGACTAAATCTCCCATGCATAAAGTTGTTCTTCTGATAAAGAGGAAGATTTAATCGATTAAGTTGAAGATTTAATCGATTAAATCTTCATTTGACCATTTAATCGATTAAAGAGAGCAGAATGGTAGATAGTTTGCAATAAGGGGCAAAATGATTATTAAATAATTAATGAGGGGCAAAAAGGTGAAAAAACCTATACAATATCATACCAAATGTTAGATAGTATTAAAATTTAATTAGATCTTATACTATCAGATTTTATACTATCCCTAATACATTAATCTCCTCAGTACCACTTTTGGAAGATGTTTAAAACTTTAATCCTGAACCGTCCTGAATCAGATTAATTGTGAAACAATAAAACCATCAGAATATTTCAAAAAAAAAAAAATAGTGTGAGCTAAACCAAGCCTTGGGTCTTTCTGCGAATTGGATTAGGGAGATGGGTGGGAAGTGAAATAACTAAACTGAAATTTCAAGAGTTGTCCGCCATGGGCCAATAAGAGGCCCTAAATGGACTTGTTCTATATAGGCCGGACCGAGTGATCAAGACTTATCCGTTTGTTCCAATGGATCATTTCTAAATTAGTTGAAGGAAGCCCAAACCCTTCTCTCCAAGGCTGCCTTGCAGAAAAAGGATAGAGAAGATACACTTATATTGAATGGAGGTTATAAAAATCATTGTCGATCGATCATCCTCTCAAAATGGCAATTTCTTTAGTTGTTGTGGGGGTGTTATCAGATACGACACAAGCAAGTGGATGATTGGTTTTTCAATGGACTTAATTTCTCACCATAACACGCTAGAAAATTTGAAATTTGAATCTTATTTATCATTAACACACTAAAAAAATAAAAAAAATAAAAGAAAATTGTACACAATTTTCTTCAACTAATAAAGTCTAAACCTCAATATAATTTTTTTCAACTCAAGAACTTTGTCTTTAAGCAATTCGTCAACCCAGAATCCATCACCTTGGCTCACAATGATAATGTTTTTGGTCGAGTAATGGCGATTTTATAAGTCCCATGATAGAGGTTAAGACTAGGAAAAATATATGGGCTCATAGCAATGAGAATCTTGGTGACGTAGAGAGCTAGACTTAAGGTGCCATGGTGGCAGAGGTGTTCATCAACCGATCCAAACCGCGATAACATAACCGAAAAATCGATAATCGAATAAATCGAAAACCGAAAAATTAAAAATCGAAAAAAACCACAAATTTTAATTGGATTGGATCGGTTTTTGGATGAGTCGATGATAACCGATCCAATATATTAATTCCCCTCTACCTACTAAATCCAAGAAAAAATCTAGTCACATCTCATCAATTTTTTTTTTATCTTTGTAGAGCTTCATATCTTATTACCCAAAAAAAAATTATATTATAGTTTACTAATATTTTTGTATTTCAAAAAATAATAATTACAAAGTCAATATATACGAAAGATGTTATTTGCACAATAATCATGAAATAAATTTTAAGATTTTCAAAAAACCGAAAACCGATCCAATCCACACCGAAAAAAATTGGATCGAATTTGAAAAAAAAAAACTAAACCGAATGGATGATTATATGATCAAACCGAAAGAATTGGATCAGATGATTTTTACTTCCAAAACTGATACAATCCAGACCGCAAACACCAATAGGCGGTATTGATATTTGTTATCCTCAGGGCCACGAAACAGAGGTTCGCAGAGTTCACAACAGTGGTGGTCTTTGCTGCATGGAGACTGTAAATGTGATGATTAGGTGGTAGATTGATGATGGTTTGCAGAGATTATGGCAAGGATGATTTTGAGGTGTGATAGATCTCAAGTTGGTGGTTATAAAGGTTCAATTGGAGGTTTGATGAAAATTAATTTTGTGTGAATGGATTAGGTAAGGAAGGTTTTCATAGTTTGTTTGGATTGTAAGCATTTAAATGGTTTCTTTGGATAGATTTTTTTTTCTCCCTTTTTTCATAAAAAAATATTTTTCATTACAAAGTTTATTCGGATGTTTGTTTAAAAAATATATATAAGTTACAAAAAAAAGCAAAAAACATGCTTTTTTGTAAACTAAAAAGTTTAGTTTCTAAGTCAAAAATAATTTTTTTTTCAAAAGCCAAATATTTTTTAAAATAATTTTAACTTTTGTAAAAAGTACTTCTAAAATAAATAAGACATAAATTTTTTTTTTTTTTAGAAATTCATCCAAACGGATTCTAAGTTTGTAATCATAAGTAGAAAAAAATTATGTTTAGAAGTGAAATTTAGAATTTGAAAAAATAATATTTATAAAAAATAATATTTCTAAATAATGTTTGAATACGAAGGAATTTTAAATTAAATAGATATTTATCTGCTTTAAGTATAACAATATTTTGTTTTGTTTTAATCTCTCTAAATATATCAATTTTTCCACTCTCTATTTTGTTAGTTTGATGTCCAATGTCAACATTTATTACATCCACGTAGGACGTGTACTCCTCGCATAGAATTCCGCGTAGGTAGATAATAAAAGATAATAACTCAACACAAGCCCTATATGATAAAGTTTTTTTATTTTTTTTAGAAATTTTTAAAATAAATTTTATTTATTTATCATTAAAAATTAATTTTAACGGTTAGATTCACAAAAATTAATGATTAAAATTTGATGATAATAAAAAAATAAAAATAAATATAACTTCTTCCTTAATCTAATCCATTGCCGTTCTCATTAAACTAGTTTAATTCACCAAAAAATAAAATAGTTTAACAAATCAACTAAACCGTGATCCAATAGAAAAAAACAAATATTTCCCAACTTTATGGTTGTTTTTCTTGTTGTAATCTTATTGGCAACTAGATATTATCACACTGTACACAAAATCTGACTTGTAATCTAAACATGTTTTTTGTGACTTAAAAAAAGAAGCATGGATTGAAGAGTAACGTGAAAAGAAGAAAAAGGGAAAAGGTAGTAAGAGCATCTTGGTATATTTGGTAATGAGATTTAGAATGTGATTCTCGTATCTCTATCTCCCATTCCCAAAAACAAAAACAGTTGACCTTGTTAGAGTTAGATACACACACACATACACACAGACACACACACCAACCATACGCGCACATACACTCTTCAAATTCCCAAGTGCGAAACAACAACACCTATCTCAAATTCACATTAAATTTAAAATTCAAACTCATACCGCAGCCAAAAAACGATGTCGTTTGAGGAGGAGGAGGAGGCTTTCGAGCACACGCTCCTGGTGGTGCGTGAGGTCTCCGTCTACAAGATCCCGCCGCGCACAACCTCCGGTGGCTACAAGTGCGGCGAGTGGCTACAGTCCGATAAGATCTGGTCGGGTCGGATCCGGGTCGTGTCACGCCGTGACCGCTGCGAGATCCGCCTCGAGGACCCGAACTCCGGCGACCTCTTCGCCGCGTGCTTCGTGTACCCGGGTCAGCGCGAGAACTCGGTCGAACCGGTCCTTGACTCGTCCCGCTACTTCGTCCTCAAGATCGAGGACGGTCACGGCAAGCACGCGTTCATCGGGTTAGGGTTCGCGGAGAGGAACGAGGCCTTTGATTTCAACGTTGCACTTTCCGATCACGATAAGTACGTCAGGAGGGAGCACGAGAAGGAATCCGGCGACGCCTCCGCCGCCGAAGATTCACAGATCGACATTCACCCGGCCGTCAATCACAGGCTCAAGGTCCGTCTCAATCTAAATTTGCGTGATTGTAGTTGATCTACTTGTTGTGATTGAGTACTTTAACCATAATTCATGATCATGGTTGTTATTATCATGAATTGTTTTGGCCTGTTCTAATTTTAAGTGAGAGTTTATATTAACTTATTTTGAGTTCAAAATATCTTATAATCAAAATCAAAATCTTCATATATATATATATATATATATATATATATCTGTGGGTGTACTTGTTGAGCTTGAGTGAATGTAGCATGATTCAATGTGGTGGTTAATTGGATCAATGAGATGCTTGTGTTGTACTTATATTCTCTGGTCAGAACTAAATGCTAGTATTTGAATATGGTCCTGTTAGAGAGAGAAAGATACAATTTTTTTTATCAAGCTAGACCCACCACCACCATAATTGATTGCTCATGAGCAGGTTGTTTTGGCCAAATCTGTTTTTTAGAGCAATTTCTAGATGTGTTTCTGTTTCATAAATATGGTTTCCCTTGTGGACTTTTTTTCTCCTAACTTTCTTTCTCCAAAATTTAGATGGATTTACTTAAGTTACTCTTCTCTTAACAGTTTTTTATTATTATTTTTGTATCTCTCACTCTTCCTTTTGGTCTTTTGACATGGTATTAAGATTTATGGATCCTTGCTTTTCCTGTATTTGAAATGGATTTGTTTGTCATTTGGCCTATAGGAAGGGGAAACCATCAGGATTAATGTGAAGCACAAAGCATCTAGTGGAACTGGCATGCTTTCAGCTGCTGGCCTGGCAGGTGGGCATGTTGCAACACCAAAGCCAAAAGCCTTGAGCCTTGCTCCCCCACCAAGTGGGGCAGGAAAAATCAGGTCCCCTCTTCCACCCCCGCCAAATGATCCAGTTGCTGCTCGGATTGCTTCTACTGGTCCTGGTTCTGACCATAAAGGGACATACGAAAGTGTGGGACATTCTACTGATTCTTTATCAGATCTTTCTCAATTACAGGTATGCTGGTCCTGGTCATACTTTTGGCTGTTTCCTTTCTGCATGCTATTTGTTTACATAATCGAAAATTTAGAGCTTACTAATTATTGCGTGACTTGACAGAAACATCATTTGTTTTAGATAGTTTGAGATTATTCCGATGAAATCTAATTTTGAAGACTACATGCTTTACCTATCTAATTCTAATACATAGGTTAGGATTAATTACCTTACTTTTCTATGGTTGTGTTAGATTCTCGTTTCTTTGTTTACAAGGTATAAGACTAAGAGCATAAAGGTACTATTTCCTTTGTCTAGTTAAAGTTATACACTCAAGACATAACAATAAGAATACAAACTGTACTTCTTTACTTGTGCATATGAATATAACAATTCTGGCGGATTTGTTTATTGACTTGTAGTTTTAGCTCCTGGTTATCAATCTAGATTCTGACATACAGCGACCATAATGATTTGAAAAACAAGCAATTTTTCCTGTTATCCATATTTGTTATCCAGTGAATTTCTGGAGCATCCCAGTTGTAACATACATACATATTTCTTGTTGGCATTTACAGAAGAATCTTCCTTCAACAGCCACTTCAGGATCGACCACAGCTTCAGGATGGGCAGCCTTCTGATTATAAATATGAGCATTTTAACTATGAGGCTTTTATTATTCTGATTTTTTTGGTTCTTTATTTTGAGAAAAGAAACAGTGGAAGAAACTGAAGAAAGGGGTGTCATAAGTAAAGTTAGCACAAGATACCAAGTAATTCGATGTCTTGAGGAATATCCTGGAAATATTTAATGTTTTCCCCATATTTGTAATAACAGGTTTCTATATCTATATAAAAAAATTACTCCCCGCCCCCAACCCCAAAAAAATCTTTCTTTCCTGACCGAGGTGTACTTATGATTTTTGCTTTCAAGGGAGTGTTCCTGATGACATGTATCGTCAGCTGATTACCAGTTTCTTGAAATAGGTATATATATGAGGTTGCTTTTCCAAATTTGTTTGTTCCCAGTATTTGGCCACTTCGGAGAGAATTATTGTCAACGTGATTACTATTATGTTGCCCGTAATATTCATGATGTGACAAAATCCATTTTTACAGCTGGTATATTTCGTTACACCTGAGCAGCAGCTATGTGATTATACTTGGACCGATTGTATTGTGTGTAATAAATTCACTTTTAATCCATTGTTCCAAAAACTATCATTTGGCTAATCCTTCTCACCCCCACTCAGGATTCGGGTATCCAAGTAATAATGACCTTTAATGACTAAATTATAAACTCATTATTCATTGCTAGTAAAATAAAGATTTTCGTCCAAATATTTACTAGGCAGAAATCGTATGGTGAATTGAATGAAGGGGGAAGTGAGGAAAATGAATAAAGTGATGCGACTAATCCCATCTAATAAGCCAAATAAGCTACGTTTACAAAAATCTGATGCAAGCTAATTGTTGGTACACATCATCCTCTTGCTCAAACAATATTATGTCAGATAGACAACAAAAATTTACAACATATCCTACACCATGCACAAATTCACATTTATATCTCCCTCTCTAAATTCACATAAAACACTAAAAAAAACTCTACATAATTCACGCACACACGCACTTGCACTTTTTGTCTAAGAATTATCCAGAATAACCAAAACTATAATAATAAAAACAAAAAACAGCCCTACAAATTTCCTGTACAAGAAAAGGTGCCTGTCTGTCTATTTTGTCCATTTTCAGTATACAAAATTGTGCTAACACACACTTTTTGTCTAAGAATTATCGAGAATAACCAAAACGATAATAATAAAAACAAAAAGCGGCCCTACAAATTTCCTGTACAACAAAAGGTGCCTGTTTGTCTATTTTGTCCATTTTCAGTATAAAAAATTGTTCTAAGAACCCACTAATGCGCTACAGGTGTGTTGTTCTGCATCCCACGAAAACTTAATATCAGCCCAAAAAAAAAAAAAAAAACCCTTGACAAAGCAAGCTGCATGTTCACTGCTCAGATTACATAACGAAGATTCCAACAACGTAAGTGACTAGTATTGTGCAGTTGGCATTGAAGTATTGACAAATAGCTTACTATTCTTGATAGTCTGGCTTCAGAACCCAATGCGATCCATTTGGTCCTTTCTGCAGAGTTGCTATTTCCTTTAACAGATTCTTGAACAGGGCAAGATCTCTCGAGGGAATTCTGTCCTTGAAATACTGAACTATGCTGGCTGAATTGGAACTACCACCTTGCTGTGTTAGAAAGGTACATATTTTCCGAATCAATACTTCAGGTTGCGACCCAGATGAATTTTCAATAGCCCTAGAAGATCGAACATCTATTGATCTTGCTTGATTAGAGGAAATTGACACCATATCAAATTGATGTTCAAGCCCAGCACCAATGGCTTTTTCTTGGTTACCTCGAATTCGAGCCAATAGTTCAGCTGAAGATAATGCCTTACCAGAGGATGCCCCAGCAGCAAGTCCATTGAATTTGTTAGGTCCATGGTTGGATAATTCATTAGATGCTTTGCTATTATTTAACAGCTGGGGATTCACAGTTGAACCAAACTTCCGCTGAACAGATGACGGTGCACCAGCAGTACCCGACCTTCCTGTCCACGTTGGAACAGAGATGCTATCATGGCTTCGGAGCATTCGTGACTGACGTAAAGCTTCCGAGGCTCTTTGTGCAACCTGGGAAGCTTGCTCCTCAAGTCTCATCTTCTCCTCATCATGGGCATTCATGATCAAATCATGGTTCATGGCGCTCTACCATCATATAGCAAGTTTACCACAAAGGAAAAAAGTACATGGAAAAAGGAAGTACTAAAACGGTAAAAAAGCATAGATTATGCATATGTAAGTCATATGTCATGTATTCTAGAAGTAGAAACAGACCAATATCTGCATTCTAACGTAGTCTGAGTATGGTAACGATACATTGTAATTCTTGTGCAAATCAACACATGCTTGATTGTTTCATAATTATTTTAAATCTTGAATATTTACTCATTCAACAGAATGTAGTTTTATAATAATATAGTCAAATACATGTAATGATGCATGGTAAATTGGATGTAAGCTGAAACATAACGAAGAAACTTACATGTATCCCGTTGGCATCAAAAAGACTTCTCAATATATTTGTTTCCTCATCCACCTCATTATTACTTTCAACTTTCTCTTTCCCCTTTCCCCGTAAAGATCCTCTCTGTGATTTGCCATCATTACCAACTGCAACATCTTCAGAGCTCGGTTCAGCAGTTTGGCTATGTTTATGGTTAACCTCATTATCTCTTTGTGTCCCAATGATATTTACTTCTTCAGATATTTGACTGAAAATACTTGACGTTTCAGTTGACCCAGTTTCTCCATCCACTTTCAGTGTGAAAAGATCTTTCATATCTCGGGCTTTAAAGAACCTTTTCTGCTGTGGGTTCTTCAATATCTTATTGGTAAGAAAATGTTTATAAATCTGACGGTGATACACTTTCTCCTCTATAGTTCCACGTGTGATCAACCTATACACTGTCACGTCCCGTTTCTGACCAATACGCCAAGCACGCTCTCTGGCCTGTTAGAAGAAATAATTATCTCCTAAATAACATTTAGGGTTTAAATTTGAAGCCAGAACATTATTCTTCATGAGAATGAAATTGAAATAATTTCACAAACACAAATATATCAGAAATATAAAATAATAAATAATTTAATTTGAAATATATTACAGGCAGCAAACTTTAGAGTTTGATTAGATTAAATGGTAAAGGAGGTAAAGAATAGAAATGGGTGATAAAGCAATCCATTGTTTTCCTCCCACTTCCATACCCCCGCTATTCCTCTCATTTTTCTTCGTCATTTTTCATTTCACCCACCATAAGACATTCAATCACAGCTGCAGTTTTTTCCGTAGGATGTAATGTGAACACAGAGAAGGAAAGTTTACCAGTCATGTTTCAACAATTTCAAGAACAAAAGGATGTATTAAGTACAAACTTACCTGCATATCAGTTGAAGGATTCCAATCAGGGTCGAAGATGATCACCCTATCTGCACCAGTAAGATTTGTCCCCAAACCCCCAACTTTGGTTGTTAAAATGAAAATAAATATCTCACTTGAAGCATTAAATTCGTCTATTAAAGCCATTCTTTGTTTAATGGGAGTGAGACCATCCATTCTCCGGTAAACATGACCAGAAGTTGTCAAGAAATTCTGAAAAATATCAAGCATCTGTTGGGTTTGAGAAAAAAGAAGAACACGGTGACCCTGTTCCTTCCAAACATTAAGCACTTGAGCTACAACTTTCATTTTCCCACTCCGTTCTGGATTTCCATAATCTGGATTCGTGAAGGCATGTTCCCTTTCAAGTAGGTCAGGGTGGTTGCAGATCTTGCGCATCACATCAATTCCATAAAGAGAATTCCTTTGTCCATCCAATATTTGCTCCACGTCAGTGCTTGCTAAAAATGCTCTATAAGCAGATACTTGCTCAGCTGTAAGGCTGCAAAATAGAACATGCTCAGTTTTCTTGGGAAGTAGGGCATTCACATCAGCCTTCATGCGTCGGAGAAGATAGGGCATGATTAAATCACGCAGTACCACAGCACACCTATAAAATGACAAAATTTTATTCAAATTATTCGGTATAGGAGGCTGATCAAGAAAGCTAACCAACTCAACGCACCTAGATGAAATATGCCAACAATCTAATTGAAAATACTCATCTCCAAGTTTCCTTTGCTTTCATTTTCCCACTACATTCTATGATCTGGATGGGTGAATTAATACAATATATTTAATTAATTAAATTTTATGTTTGGAGAATAACAATTTACAAAGTCCTGAAAACATATCTCCAGTTTATGAACAACAAAGAATAATGTTTTCACCATGTATCAACTAAATTAAGGTATCATATGAATTACTGTTTCTAATTTTCTAAACAAGAAATATTTTTGGCAGGAATTTCTGAATAACATTGGTCAACTTACAATTTATCAGAACTTTCAATTGGTGTATTTTACACCCATAAATTTATCAGAATGTGCAATTTATCCCTTCCAATACAGTATTGTAAAAATTGGTTATCAAATTCAATAGTTAACTACAATTTTCTTAGAAATTCTAACGAACTTATGTCAAATGTCTTAATTTGTATATTAGGATAGATCATTGAGGGAAAAATGCTACAATGAAAAGTTTAGGGGCTAATTGCAAATGAGGCAAAGTTGATTTTTTTTTTAAAAATTTTTTTTACCCCTCTCCCAACAAAAAAGGAATATTGACCCACCTGTATGCTGTGGATACTTGTAATGGTGAAGCATTTGCATATCCACCAACTGCTATAGGAACTGCAAACTCAGCTTCAAATACAGGCAAAACACCCAACTTTCCAGGAAAAACAAAATCAAACAATGACCACAGCTCAGACAGTTTGTTCTGAATAGGTGCGCCAGTCATTATGATGCGGTGTACTGTTTGTAGCTGCTTACAAACTAGGGTAACTTCAGCATTTGGATTCCTTATTCTATGCCCTTCATCAAGAACTGCGTAGCCCCATTCGATGTCAAGCAACTGGTCTCCCAATATTCTGAGCTGCTCATAAGTGGTGATAAGTAATCCAGATTCCGATCTCATGACACGATTTATCAGGGATTCCCATTTTCTTGTGCTTTTGGATGGCAAACTTCTCTCATAATCATTATCACTTGAACTATTGCTTTCACAGTCTGTTTCATCAGATTTAGCTCGCTTCTTTCTAGGAGCAGAATCTTGAGCAGAATCATGTAAAAGCTCTACATGGAATTTTGGGTACCACTTTTTAGCTTCCCTTTTCCACTGTCGCAATAGTGTAACAGGACAGACAATGATGCTGGGTTTGTACATGCCACTAAAATGCAATGCACCAAGAAATGATAAGACCTGGACAGTTTTACCAAGACCCATTTCATCGCCAATAATTCCACCAGATCTTTGGCAATGCAATTCCCACAGCCATTGAACACCAACCTTTTGATAGTCAAACAAAGCTTCAAATATGTTATCAGGGATTTTCAGCCCACCTTCTAATGTTACATAAGAAGATTCATGATCAGCAAGTTCAACATCTTGTGCTTCTAAATTTTCACAACTGGAAGAGTCCAAGCAAACATTTGCATTTTCTGCAAAACATTCAACAAAATGAATATGAACAAAAATAGAAGAGTATATAATACTACTGCAAACAAAGCAATCTAGAGGGGTGAAATGAAGTGAAACCAGATTACCATGGATCACGCACCAACCTTCCCTCACATTGATGGAGGGACAATACATATCTTTCATCATCTGTAACACTTCTAACTAGTGTAATCTTCAATAAAAGCAATATTGATCTAGGGAAATATTGGATATACAGATCAATGAATTATCAACATGAAAATTACCTATTCACGTACACTCTTACTCAGCAATAATTCAGAATAAAATCCTGGCATTTTAAAATTGCATAAAACAAACACACCTAACACTAAAAACAAAGAATCAGCACAAAAGAAGACAGATGAGTACATGACCATTTCCACATAAACAAACACCGATAACAAACATTACAAAAGATCTTCATTTTGGCCTTTACATTTTTGAAAAATATAACCAAATGCAACTAGTTATGGCAAGACATTGTCAAATTTTAGATGAAGTTGATAAGTAAAGATCACAATCTGTTTCAACTCCTCCTAAGAATCCAGATATATCATGAGGCCAGCAACTTTTTACTAGGTAGGAAACTTAATGGAGTTATAGGAACACCTACTACCTTACTTTTTCATATTCTTTTTTCCTTTTCTCGTGGTACATACAAATAAGAACTTGACCAACTTTTGCAATGAGAACATTGAATTTTGAACATACCACTTTGACTTTCTTCCAGATGTGTATCTTCACAAGAAACATGCTTGGTCCATTTCCTACCAGGCAAAGGCCGTCTCTTTTTCTTTTTTGAACTTTTATTCGGCTCCACCTCTCCATCTGCAGGTTTGGGAAATATTAGTGGTTTCTTGAGCCTGCGAAAAGGAAAAGTGGGTGCATCAAGCTTCGGTACAGCTTCAGACCCAAGCAGCTTGGTGGTTGGGCGAGCTCTTGCTGCCTCAGACATTGATCTGGCAGCTCTTTCAACACTGGAAGAAGCAAGATCATTGATATTTTCATCCTCGGCTGCATTATTACTACTTGATGTTTCAGGATGTTGAAAGCGGCGCTCAAAACCCTTCAGCTTATGAAAAGGAGTTAAAATTCCTTTTCTCACCAATTCATCCCTTTCCTTAAACATAAGCAGTAGAAAATTAGTTCTTCTATTTCTATTTCCACCAACAATATCCTTCAAATTTGGTTCATTCTAGTACTCTATAACGTCAAATACAATATTTACAATATAAAAATCATTTCAGAATAAGAAAGAAGCAACATAATGGGACAAAAAACTGTAAATTTTAACAATTAACTCACTGTTTCAACAAAGCCTGCAGAGGCTGCATCCAAAACAGCATCAAAATCAACATCGTCATCAAATGAGACTTTCTTAAGCCGCTTTCCTGAGCTTTTGTGCGATTTTTTATCTTCTTTAAGCTGCCTCTTGGGCCTTCGCTCTTCCTTAACTAAACTCAAGATCACTTTTTCTTCATGCTCGACGCTTTGGGAAGCTTTATCCTCTTTACACAAGGTTGAAAGCTCTTTCTCTAGTTGAGCCTTAGTGTTCTTCAGGCTCCTCAACCTATCGGCAGCGAGAACACGCTGAAGGTTCAATTCCTCGGAGGAATCACCCTCAGAAATCCCTTGCTCCGGTCTTCCCTCACCAACATCACTACATTCTCCATTATTATCATCATTTCTCGAGGGCTGAATAGTCGAAGCGACGGCATCTATTTCAAATTCTACTGCCCTCAACTTCTGATGAAGTTCTGCTTTGGAAATAGATGATGGATCAACAACATTTTCAGATAAATGAGAACACTCTTCCTTGGTGCTCCCTTCAGCTTCAGTAACAATCACTGCATCATTCCTAGCCTACAATTTAACATTCCCTACGGTTAAATACTTAAATCTTAAGGTTTTGTTTCAACTAAACACCACTGTGCTTATAGCTTTCAACACCGAGTTCCAAATCAATTTGAAAGGAAACAGAAACAGTAAACTTGAACAAAAAAAAACAAAAATTGAAAAACTGATGAAGACAGGAGGTGATACCTTTTCCAAAACGTCGCGCTCAATGTCTTCGGGATTGGCAGATTTTACGCCCAAACTAGTGAGCAAAATTCGATCCTGCTCTTCCTCCATTGAATTATCGTAACATCAATGATATCATCGTGTAGCGGAACCCCAAACCTAGCTGCCAAAACACATGACGTTGATCATTTTCACCATAACTTAACGGCATTTAAGCTCAATTTATTTTCCTAACCGATTTCAATTAAAATTAAAGAAGCTTCTTCTTCTTCTTCTTCGATTCCGTTTTCGCAGAGAGTAGTTGGTATCACCGTCGTCTTGGGTTTTGCCTCAGTTTCTAATGCCACGTCTTAACGCTGGAGTTAGTCGTCGTCTTGCTTCTTGCGCACGATTGCATTTCATTTAACGTCGTTTCATCATGACTAATTAACCAATTTTAGCAATTTAGGATCAATTCTAAGTTATTTTAACATATGTTATACAAAAAAAAAAAAAAAAGTTATTTTAACATATTTGGGTATATTTTACAAAATCAAATATAACAAATTTATGGGTTATATAATTGACTCAGAAAAAGAGAGTAAATTTTTAGTATTTTAGTGTGAATAAAATTGATTTTAAATTATTTTCAAATTTTAATATAACTTTTTTAAACTTAAATTAACTAAGGTTTATACTAAACCATATGAAAATCTATGATACTAAATCAGTGGTACAAGTGGTAAGGAGTTTGTGTCTCTTAATCAGAAATATCGAGTCCGAGCTATGTGAATAAAAAAAATAGTCTTAAGAGAAATGTCTTCGCTTAAGGTCCAATAATATTCAAACTAGACTAATCTGAAGAATCAATCGGTTAAGGAGACTAAAAAAAAGTATACTGTTATCGTATACAAAATGCTTTAGCTTGGTTTGTTTGAGAATCTTATATCTCAGGTGTTTGAATATTTTTTTTTTCTTTTTAATATCAATGTATATTGGAAATCCTAATGTATTCAATTAATTCACTCGTGTTTAAAAATTCGGCTCGGCGATCGACTCGACTAACATAAGGGGTCATTCAACCGGAGGTCACGGTGTTACTTTGTTCACCCGATTTTATACATCAAAAATGTAATTATATATCCTATACGAAAAATTCAAAAAAAATCAAATCACCAATCATCAAAGATTCAAAATATACTTAACATAATTCAACCATTTACATCTATAAGTCAATATTACATAAACTAATCAAAGTATCAAACTATTAAAGTATAAAGCACATATTCCAACGGAGTTAATGAAAAATTATATCATCAAACTCAGGCCCTCCTCTCTTTTTCACTCACCTACAATAACATGTGAAAGGAGATTCCTTACCCGAGAGAACGGCAGAAGAGAGGCGGCAACACGACCAATCAACGATGGGGAGAGAAGAAATAGCACGACGGAGGAAAGGGAGAAAGAAGACTGAAGATGATAGTAAGAACCACCACCACGGCGGATGAGACACCAAATTAGGGAGACTAGACCTAGGTCGGGGAGAGAAGATCAAAAGAGAAGAAGAAGAACGATACATATTTCAGATCTAGTTCTAGATATAGGTAGCAGTGAGTTTTTATTTTTATTTTTTATTTTTTACACATCAAACAAAGTCTTTTCATGTATACTTTTTTTTTCAAAAAATGCAGTGACTCTCTCTGATCCCTTTGACTCGGGAGTCACAAGTTCAACTACGAAGTTACGGGGATCATAGAGGTCAACGTGCATACAGGGTCAACTGACCTCAACTATTAGAGAGAGGGTCACTGACCTGGCAAGGTCTCAGAAGTGCTAACGGATACAACTTTTACGATTTAAATTCAGTATCCTTTGAACCGATTAAATTATAATATCTAATTGGATCGTCACCATACCAATAATTTTTAGGGAATGTTTCAATGTTTTATCATTTTATAATGAAAAAAATATTTGTCCTTTTAAAGAATAAATATTTTAGTTAAAATTATTATTATTATTATTATTTAATATTTGAATTAAAAATAATCTCTTACTTTCTCCTATCACGATTTTTGTTAATATAACTCTTTATCTCATCATAAAACATAGTATTTTTGACTAAAATAATACAATTTTATGTGCTTTAAAAAAACAAACACTAATCTCAATAATTGGATTGTCACTGTACCAATAATTTTTAGGGAATGTTTCAATGTTTTATCATTTTATAATATGCTGTAGGGGAATGATATTGTAATAACTAATTAGTATTATTATTAATGTTACTACCAATCAATTTCACCGTTAGATCGATTATGTGGATCTAACGATTATATTTATTTTCATCTTTCTATGGTTATGATTCCCATATTTAATACTCTATATTTATTTTCAAAATTGAATGGTTATGATTCTTCATATTTAATGTTTTCATTAAATACGAGGAATCATAATCATACAAAGATGGAAATGAATATAACCGTTGGATCAACATAATCGATCTAACGGTGAAATTAATTGATGGTAACATTAGTAATAACACCAATTGATTGTTACACTGTCCTACTCCTATACCATAATATTTTTTTTTTTTATAAAAAAATGTATGTAAAGGGATCACATCAATTTGAATGCTTACGGTTCTACACTATATATTTATTTTTTGATACATATATATATTAGGGGGCGTTTGGTACCAATTTTTTTTTTTTTGTATCCTGAAATCACGATTACCTGAAATATGATTGGAACAAAAAATGTCTGAAAATTTTACAAAAAAAGTGTTTGATAGGACAAAATATCACCGAGAATATTAATTAATTTTTCTAAATAGCTGTTTGGTTGATAACAAAATAGTACTAGGAATATGGTGAAATTTTACGAAAGTACCATCCTAGAATAACTTTTATTAAAGACCATTTATTAGATACAAAATATCAAATCAAAACGCAAAGAACGATCACACAAATAGGCGACCTAATGTTGCATAGGCTAATTTAGTCTAAAAAATAGCACGCAAAGAAACCAAGAGGTGGGAACCAATAAATACCATGTTCTAAATGGTAATTATAATTTACAATCGGTAGTGTAAAATGGAAGTTTGGGAATAAACTATACCCAATAAAATTTATCTTTTTCTTCTACCAAATGTGAAAATAAATAATTCTGACTTCCATTTTTCTGGATATCCAAAGTATTACTCCATACCAAAATGCCCCTTAAAGATAACTTTGAGCGATAATATTACACCGCATGTGACATGTCGACTAAATTGAAAAAAGTCTCATTAGTCATATACATATTTCTGTCAAATATATTTTTGAAGAGAGATAATAAATTTTAATTGGGACTCAATTTTGACACAGGATCAATCCCATAATTAATTCAAAAAGTTAAAATGTGTGCAAATATCCAAAGATTAAATTGTCTCAAAAAAATAATTAAAGTCGATATAATCAAAAAGAAAAAAGAAAAAAATTATGGTTTCTAATTTTTATTTATTAATTTTGTGTGTGTTACTTATTCCCTAATATATTCATGTCGTTTTAACACCGCCTTGACGAAACGACGTGCGCTTGCCTTTTCATTAAGTTGTTAAAAAGGTGGGTGCAGTTTAGGGGTGTCAATATGGGTTGAGTCCGGCGGGTCAACCCGCTAAAATGGAGCGGGTTGAGTTGAGATTTTTAACCCACCGACCCACCTCAACCCGCTCTGCCTAGAAGTGAGTCAAAACGAGTTCAACCCGCTGCGGGGCGGGTTGACCCGCCCGGTTTTAAATTTTTTTACAATTAGGTAGTATTTCATTAGTACTTAAATTTTTGTGATATTCAATTTTTTTTATCTTAGTACTTTCTAGAAAAAATAAAGAATAACAATTTTATTTATGACAAATGTTATCTATTTATAAATTCCTAAAGAATGTTTGACAAATATTAGTATACATTTAAGATTGAGACTAAAACAAATATAGAGAAGTGTGAAATAAAATAAAATAATATTAAAAAAATTCATAAAATATAATTTATTTTTGAATTTTAATTAAATTTTTTTAATTGGCGGGTTGGTGGGTTGATCCGCTAACCCGCCAACCCACCATAAAACGATGTGGGTTCATTTTTACAACCCATATTTTTTGGCGGGTCAATCCGCCCCGCCCCGTTTTTGGCAGGTTGGTGGCGGGGCCGGGCGGGTTAGCAGGTTGGTGGTCGGGGGCGGGTCAACCCAAATTGCCACCCTAGTGCAGTTGGCAGCTGAGCTCTCAAGGGATTGCTTGGTGCAGGGATCAAATCATGCCTCTAGCAGTTTCTAGGAAAATCTTTGGGGTCCAGAGGATAAGTCAAAAAATCTTCGGTTTGGGGATTAGTCTCGTCCTTTCTCCGGTTGCGAAGCGCATCCACTGTTACAATGAGGGGCTAGCCCAAACAGGCCGTACCCCGAGGACATGGTGCCTGGAGAAGGTTGAACGAGATACCCAGTTACAATCTAAAAAAAAAAAAAAAAAGGTGGGTGCAGCAGCGGCTACGTACGTGGTTTGTCGTCTATTCACATGTTTAGTTGGTTTGCAAGTGCCACGTGTAAGTTATCTATAGGCACGAAATTGGAAATGGAGAAAGACGAGTAATAGAAGAAGAAGCTCCCCTTCCATTGGCATTGGCGGTTGCAGTTGCAGGGCAACGATGGCGGGAGAAGAAGAAGAGAGAGGAATTCGAGTACGTGGCATGCAATTCTCGTACCAAGGAGTAGGACAACAACCACCGCTTTTCCTCGACTTCCACCTTAACGTCTCTCCCGGATCGCGATGCCTTCTCGTCGGTGCCAACGGATCCGGTAACTAAAATTACTATTATAACCTCACAGTTGTTACACTTGTGAGGATTTTGTGTGTGAATCGTGTTTAATTGATGTGCAGGGAAGACGACTTTGCTGAAGATTCTAGCCGGAAAGCATATGGTTGGAGGAAGAGACGTTGTTCGCGTGTTGAACGGTTCCGCTTTTCATGACACTCAACTCGTTTGTAGTGGAGATCTCGCTTATTTGGGCGGATCCTGGAGTAAAAACGTTGGCTCCGCTGTGAGTTTTTTATTTTTCTTTTTTATGATTTTCACTGTGGTCACAAAAATAGGATAAATTTTCATAGTTGATTGTTTATTCGTTCAAATTCAGATATAGTCTTTGTTCCAGAATGCTCTTTCATGTGGCTAAAATGAAATGCTAGTGAATTATTATAATGTCATGTGGTGTATTACTTATTTCATGGTTGTTCCTGCATTGCTGTTTCCTAGCATATACACCTTCATGCTGTTTATGAGATTATTGCAACTACAGCTCCTTTGTATGATTTTCAAATCTTGCGCTGAAACTTTTGATTACCTGCTGTGATTTATTGGTGACGGTTGGGATGTATATATACTTTATATCTTGTGTGCTGTTCACATAGGTCGCACGCTTTAGAACTTATTGTATGTTGAACTTGTAATGTTTCCATTCCAACCTGCACTTATGGTGTAAGGTTTTTGGCTCTAACAGTGCGTAGGAAGAAAGAGCCAATGTGAATTTGAATTTGATTATTTTCTCCTCACTTTTCTGTTATGTTTGAGCAAAACATTTGGGGTTTCAGTAAAGTTAATATTATACAACCAAGTGGAGGAATCTTGTTTTTGTTGTAGCATAGATGCTCAGCCTTTGTGTCCTCATAGCGGGAACTATAAATATATTTCCTCTGATGTTTATTTTCCATATTGCACAACAGCCATTCGTTGTCAACCTGGTCCATAGTGTGGCCTTTGGTCCTAACAAGAGCCTGATGTTCTTGTAGTACCCCACTTCTATAAATAGATTTCCTCTGATGTTTGGTTTCCATATTGCACAACAGCCATTCATTGTCAACCTGGTCCATAGTGTGGCCTTTGGTCCTAACAAGAGCCTGATTTTCTTATAGTAACCCACTTCAGAGCTTTAGTCCTCAAATAGTTTTCTTTTAACACTTTTTATTTTACTGATTTTTATTCTTTTATATATATTTATATATATATATATATATTTTTGGTTTGTAGACAGAGGAATTGAGCCTGAAACTGTATCCTTACCCCTCCTAGTAACCTGCATTTGATATGATTTGATAAATTTCATTTCAAATATAAATTTTGTTGTTAATATCCAGGGAGATATTCCACTACAAGGAGACTTCTCTGCTGAACATATGATCTTTGGAGGTGGGTTTTCGAATATATTTTTCTGTTACCAAAATGCATCTGCATCTCCTTTTTTTCTATTCAAAATATAAGGAGAAAAGCTAATCACCACATATTGGAGTCCTCTAAGATGCCCTGTTCATGACAACTTTTTTTTTTTCTTTTGTTTGAAAAAAGGAACTATAATTTATTGGAAATTCAAGTGTGAGTAATGAAATTCTACATTGGTTACGAATGAGTTAAGTGAGGATCATATAAGTGAAAAGATCCGTAGACTTATTGCCTTAAGGTTGTGGATGAAGATGAAGTGTTAAGCTCACTGTTGTGGTTTGTTGCTTAGCCCAATGATGGATGTCTCCCCACCTTTTGTGCTCTTGTTAACCATCTAACAAGTGGTGATATTAGAGCTAATGGTTTGGCTGGACTAAGTATTTGGATTTTGGAGATGGTGGTTGTTACTCAGGTTTATGCCTAACCTATGTTGTGGAGCATTTTGGAAATTCAAGTGTGATTGATGAAGTCCCACATTGGTTAAGAATAGGTTATGTTGTGAGAATCATATAAGTAAAAAGACTTATTGTCCTTAGGTTTTGTGTCAAGAAATGGTGTTAAGTCCACTATTGTGGTTTGTTGCTTAGTTCATTATTGGAGGTCTCCCTTGCTCTTGGGATCACCCTCATTGCCTAACAAAATAAGATATGTCTACAACTGCGTTTTATAGTGTGGTGTTTAGGTTCTTTACGATGTTTGGTGATTCAAATACAATTGTTCTTTAGTCTTGATGTACAGTAGAACTAAGGTTTTCCATACTTTTGGCAGTTGAGGGCACTGATCCTGACAGGAGAGATAAGTTGATTGAGCTGCTTGATATAGATCTGCAATGGCGAATGCATAAGGTATCCGATGGCCAGCGGCGTCGAGTGCAAATCTGTCTTGGTCTTCTTCATCCATTTAAGGTATCAATACTTAAAAGCCCAGAGAATTTGTGTATGGTTGTTATGCTATTGTAGAAAATGTTAGTGTCAATGCTCTCACCTGAGTTTAATTTTTATTGCATGGTTCGTACCCACTTTATGTTGGTGGGTTATTTTATTAAAAGCAAGAAACTTTGATTTAAAACTGTTCTTTCATGAATGATCGAAAGATCATAGGTTCGAATCCAGGAAACAACATCTTTGCAATAATGCAAGGGTAAAGTTGCGTACAAGAATTACCTCTATCCCACACTCGCTAGCCAGGTTTAATGAGAAGTGGTTTTTCTTTTCTTTTTATGTCCAATTTAGTTGTTGACCTCACTTGTATCTTATGACTCACATAACTAATAAATTAGAGCGATTAGATTTAAGTGGAATCCACAACTAAGATTGAGTGTAACACTTACACCAATATAAATTGATCCTGTGTATATTGATATACAACTAGAACCCTTGATTGACATTTCAGGTTCTCTTGCTGGATGAGGTTACTGTTGACCTGGATGTTGTTACAAGGGTAGATTTATTGGACTTCTTTAGGGAAGAATGTGAACAGGTATTCACTAGCTCTATCTATTTGCTTGCTGAAACACACTGTAAAATGAGTGTGGAAAACTGCAACGAGGATGGCCTCAATGTTACATAAGATGATAGCTGGTCCTAGTTGGAAATAATAATCATGAAAATAAAAAATAACAGAATGAGTTGGATCCTAAATTTCTGCAATGGACAATATATATATATATATATATGGGTTTACATTTCTGCAGCTGCTGTACGTACAGCAATCAAATACTTGTCATATATATACGTGAAAACATTAAATGCGGGGAATCATAACCATACAAGAGATGAAAGCATTAAATGTGGGGAACTATAACCATACACCTGTCGTTGCTGTAATGTGGGGAACTATAACCATACACCTGTCGTTGCTGTACGTAAAGCGGTTGCAGAAATGATTTTACCATATATATATATATTATCCCAATATATCTATTCAAAGCAATCATGGGAAATAAAATGCCTTTATAAATTATAATCACTTCGGGTGTGATAAGCCCATCTTGCAAAGGCTGGAATGTTGGGTTCAAAAACAATAATTATTTTCTTATGTTTTCTATTCTTTGCAGAGAGAAGCTACAATTGTATATGCAACTCACATTTTTGATGGACTAGAGACATGGGCAACTCATCTGGCATATATACAAGATGGTGAACTGAGGAGAGCAGAAAAATTATCAGATGTTAACGAGTTGAAGTCTTCAACTAATCTGCTGTCCGTTGTTGAATCCTGGCTCCGTGCTGAAACAAAGCTTGAAAAGAAGAACCCTGTCCAGAATACTTCCCACGTTCAAAAGACTGTTGCTAGCTCTCCATTCTTTTCATCTAGACACATGGCATACTATCGATAGTTTCTTTTTACCCATATTTCTTATAAAAATAATTTGAGAGACAAATAAAAGTCGTTCAATCTTTCATGCATATCAAGTTAGTGGTTGTTTATACTTCCAATATTTTGTGTTTTTGGAGTAGCTATACGTGTAAACAAGCATGATTAAATCATAGCTTTATAATTAGTTGGGTGCACCATGAATTCACATGGGGCTGGCTTTGGCCAATAAGATGAATTCAATTCGTTTGTCAAACCAAAAATTAAACAGACTTGCTGTGATTTGATAATTCGTGCAATATGTATGTCATGGTTTGAGCTGTTACTGGCTCAGTGGAGTACTTGTTTGTGCCAATTGTCATGTGACAAGTTTACAGCGGAAGGTGGTGTTTGAAAATTATGCATTCCCTTAATTAACCATGTGACATGATGATTTATTTTTCACATATAAACGGACAGTGTGATATGTTCGTGCCGTGTATCATTCCTTTACTAATTTTGCTTGCGAATGTTCGGCTTTTTTGTAGCCAGTAATTTCAATCTTGGACGGGCTTCAATCCTACAAAAAAGGTCACGAGATCATGGAACCAACATGTCTCATCAATCATTATATTAGAAACAAATTTCTTGTTCCCCACGGCCAACTACTTTAGCTGTTGTTACATTTTTGACAGCAATGCTTCTCCAACTCTGTTTTCGCAACAACCCCAAATGAAGCAATCAAACAACACTTGTCCTCGGTTGCGGTCATGTTGGTCTTAGTTCCCTTTATGGGACCATATCATACCAAATAAAACAAAAGCAATTTCAAAATGCATACATCAATAATGTATTAAATATTAATTCATGCCGTGTAATTTTCTGAAATAATGCTACATAAACTACTCTTCCCGTCATTCTAGCATAATAGAGCTAACATTAGTGAGGGGGGGCAAATTGTCTTAAGACACGTTCTATGAGTTCGGATTTTATTCCTCTGATTCTGTCTATTTCATCACATACATCAAGTAAGCCCGTTTTTAATTTTAATAATTGCACAGTGATAATTCTGATCATCTATCTCTTCTGCTTTATACATGAGTTTAAATCTCTTAGTGATTTAATATCACCCACTGTCTTCAATAACAATGAAGCTATTGCTTTGGTTAAGAGGAGTGAAAGTCTTTGTTTACGGAAGAAGTATAATGTGAGAGGAACAAAAAGAAAGGTATGATGACACATTAGATTAGTATAACGCTGACAAGTCATTTAACTAGCCATTTTTAATGGCTATTACTGAAATCGACACACTTAAAAAATGGACTAAATTAAAATAAAAGATTTAACGCGTATTTGTATAAATAAAAACATATTTAAGTCATGTAATAAACATATAGGAAAAGTGGGATGGTGCTATAGCTTAAAGCAAAAATTGTCCTTATCTATTAAGAAAAAGTTATGGTTTTCACTTTTCAGTATTGGGTTTGCGAATTTTGTAACTGAGTGATTGGTAATTAGTAGAAGGCTACATTTAGGAGACGAGAAGCTTGGTTTGTACCAAGTGAAAATTCTTATCTTCTTGTTTCGTTTTCTTTGAAAGAAACCAAACTTTGGGGGTCCAATAACGGCTCCCGCACGGCAAAAGATTCCAAGTTGACATTTTGGTGTCCAATGAAGGCCCTCGCACGGCAAGAAATTCGAAGTACTCTTGCTAGATGAAATTACTCTCACATCACATCCAAGACTTTGGAAGAAAAATTAAAATGGGTTTAAATTTTAGAATGAACCCTCAACTTGATCCTCCAAAAATTAAGGTGTCACCATGTTAATTCTTAAAAATATTTTTGTCTTTAAATTAGTTTCTTAAGAGATATGTTATACTTACAACTTTTTTTACAACCATTCTATAATCGTTAGATTAGAATTAAATTAATAATTTTTATTTGATGTTATTTTGTAACCATTTATTTAATTTTCATCCAATGATAAAAAAATAGTTATAAGAAATTGTAAGAAAAAAGAGATTGTTATTGTTGAAGACATTGAGTGAAATAAAAATTACCAAAAGAATTGAATCCATGTATGATACTGGAGTTATGAAATTAATCCTATAATCACAACACAATAATAAACAAGAACAAGCTCACATTATGTATAAATCAGATGTCAATATGCAAAGAAAGATGAAGACTTTGAGCCCAACAATGTTGTCTCCTTAAGACAATTTGTTCTCTCACAATTGATGCTGAAGGTTGATAAACAATTATCTCTCAGGATATAACAGATTTGTGTCTGCGGAATGATGGCACTATCAATTGGGAGCCCAAACGAACACAACTGAATGTCAGAGAGAATCACGCTTTTCCTAAGCCTAAGGCAGTATGTGTTGGGCAGGTGGCTTCAATACTCAAGAGGGAGGTGAATTGAGTTTTACAAAATCTTTTCGCAAAGTACCTCCTTTGATGTTTTAAAGACTATTTCTTCAATAAAGTGATTTAATAAGAAAAAGTCTAATTGTAAAAGCAAGTGTAGTGATCAACAAAGTAAGCAAGCGAATATATAAAGACAATCTAAGATGCAATTTTAATACTTCAATAAAGAGATTAAGGTTAGAGAAATTGCAAACTAGATGTAAACAAGCATGAAAAATTCTCTTGATTCACATCATTTTTAAATATTGTTTAAACATTTTATGAACATTGAAAAATATGTTTTCATGTTAAAAATGTATTTGAATGTCAAACGATGATTTAATGCATGTATTTGAAAAATACTTTGAGCTTCGTTCTTGTAAGGAATCAATTTTACAAATAATCCTAAGTCCTACAGTATATTACTCTGAGTTTGGACTTAGAGACTTCTCTTGAAGCTTGAGTCTTGATCTTGTTTAGACTTCTTTTTGATGGTTGCACCTTGAAGCTTTCTTTCCATGCTTGTTTGTTATCATCGAAATCATTGAACCTTTATATTCTTTTCATAGAGTGCTTTGGTTCCACAGTATGCACTATGGATGCAATGCACAGGGATAACTTATAAAAAATTCGGCAGAGTAAGGACAAGAAAAAATACAGATAATTTTTTTATTGGTGTCAACGTCTATATATTGACATTGGAAAGACATGATAAATCACTATCAGTGAACCAATAAGACCGTGACTGGTCGGTTCGAAATTAACTGAGCTCATCGGTTTGATTCAAAATGAAACTGAAAGGAAAGAACTGATTCAGTTCAAAAATTGGCTTGAAGCAACGTTTTGGTTTGAAAAAATATGGAGAGAAGCAACAAATAGAACAGAGGTATTTTGGACAAAAATTAATAAAATAATTAATAAACATTATTTTTATTTCTCTCACGCACACACGTGACCGATCGAACCGCGCTTAGCCGAGCCGGACAGACGAACAGCGGCGGCGTGCGTGCGTGTGGTGGACTAGTGCCCACCTAAGTCCTCTTTCATTCTCAAAATGTGAAGTGCCCCAAGGACAATCTAGGAGTGTGAGATGAGAGCTTATAAATCTTTTCACCTTTTACTAGTTATCCAATGTAGGACTTCTTAATTTATAACCCACACACACATTTTCATCTTCCCTTTTTCTCTTTCTTCTAAACCACTAATTATTCATAACCCATGGAATTTTATACACAAATTTAACAATACCCCCATGGATAAGAAGTCTATTCATCGTGACTATATGCAAATGAACATGAAAGCAAAGTGCATTTCTTCAGCGAGAAACAATTGCATCGCGATAGGTAGGGGTCACCTTTGAACCTTCTCTAGTGAAACCTATCAGGTGTACTCGGTCAATCGGTGGTCATGATGACTTGAACCATAAACCTTTAGTGTATACCAAGATGATAGGAGTCACATAATTGCATCTTTAACATTATTGGTTCTCATTGTTATGCCCATTTTGGCCCTAGACACATGCCTAGTTTTGTGAGTGTTCTAGAGAATTGGCCTTTATAAGTTTTCATAAAAGCGGCCCTCACTTCTCACTCACATAGGTGATTCCTTGTGATGTAACTCAACATACATCATCTGAACACATCAGATTAAAAAATCATTAAAAGCCTAAATATTTACCCTCATATATACACTGTCTTGTCATAAGAATGAGTATGAGTTTAGAAACTCCACAGTGTTAACAGTTGATCATCAGTTAGTTGTCTCTTTGAACCTAGTTCGTGGGATCTTCATTCATCAAGGTAGAGTTACTGCAATAATCAACAATTGATATGCCTTAAACTCATTCATTTCGAATTGATATGCCTTAAACTCATTCATTTCGACAAATTCTCAACCAACTCTCTAGGAATCCCTTTGGTCAATGGATCTGCTATATTCTCTTTAGACTTTACATAGTCAATTGTAATAAATTCACTCGAGAGTAGTTGTCTCATGGTATCATGTCTACGATGTATATGTCTAGACTTACCATTATACATGACGTTCTTGGCCCTTTCAACAGCGACTTGGCTATCACAATGTATACATGCGGTTCGTACCGGCTTTGGCTAATTAGGAACATCCTCAATAAAATTATGAAGTCATTCGGCTTATTCACGACTTTATCTAAAACAATAAATTTTGTTTCTATGGTTGACCTTGCAATGCAAGTCTGCTTGGACGATTTTCAAGACACCGCACCCCCACCAAGGGTGAACACAAATCCACTTGTGGATTTAGTGTCATTAGAGTCGGTGATCCAGCTTGCATCACAATACCCTTCTATTACTATAGGGTACTTCTCGTAATGTAAAACAAAGTTTTGGGTGTGTTTCAAATATCCCAAAACTCTTACCATAGCTTTCCAATGAAACTCGGTTGCATTACTAGTAAAGAAACTTAACAGACTTATTGTATAAGCAATATCAAGTCTGGTGCAGTTCATAACGTACACAAGACTACCTAACACTTGAGTATATTCCTTTTGTGTTTCAG